CCCCCCCCCCCAAATTGTCTATTGAGGCAAGGCCAGGGCGAAGGGGATACGTCGCAGTTTTGCTCCTTTTTTAGGCAAGGTTCTCCAAACTTTTTTTCAATCTCTGCGCAAAGTAAAGCACAAAAATACTTTTCCATTGATATTGTTCATTCAATTATAGCTAATAACACCCACGTCAAAAATATACTGATCAAGACGGCTTTATTTTTTTATTTTCCTTAGGAGCCGTTAGAACATGTTGCGTTGCTTTTCAATGAGCACAGAACACACTTCTGTTTGTATGGAACAGAATTAGAGGGGAACTGCCAAGTCGCGGAGGGAAAACAATTTCCACGTCCCTCTGACGACACCTACATTGTCGAAGTCCGGGGCACGTCTCAGATGTTCGGGGTTTTCCCCCAATGGGTCATTTTTGACTTCGGAAAACGACCAGTGGTTAAGAGGTGTTTGTGGTTGTACGTGGGTAGTTTAGGTCCGGACATCGCGCAAGTCATTCCCGCTCCACCGGACTTCGAACGCTGGCACAGTGGGAACAAGAGTATCGTCAAGTTTGCCGAAGAACTCAACCCAGCGGATCAGGCACTGCTGGCGAAGTACAAAGAACCGACGGAGGAACCAGGGGAAGTTTTGGCAAGACTCTCGCGGCGTAAGAAAGAGTTGGACGAGACGGTCTACAAGACGCGCATGCACAACCTTCTGTATCTCGAAGAGCTGACAAGAACCAGCGAAATTGACAGGTAAGACTGACAAATGAATGCAGAATGGCATTAAGGCTTTCCTGTTGTACCTTAATCATATTTATGAAAGCTGCAAAACTTATTAGTTGTATACCCGTTGTCCCTTCTAATGATTACAATTTTGTCATAAATATAGCCATGATATCATTTCTTGACGTATGGAATTTTCTCTTTTCAGTATCCGCAAAGAGACAACCCTGGAGCTGTCCGACCGTATATCAGACGGTATTCTGCTGTTCGCTGAGGGAGGCACGCTGTACACCAAGCTCCATCTACAGGACCAGCTCAGCGAGGACGGGCCGGCAGGGAAACTCATCCTCACCAACGTCAACACCGTTCTACTGGCTCCGAAAGGGAGCAATACTAACAAGGTTAGAACGCACTAAATTTCTCTAAAGGAACTAAACTTTCAACAACAAAATTTGTGAAGATGAGTAGTTGAACAGTGACGACAGATGGCCTGCCCAAACCGCGGTAGACTGGACATCAGGCTATCAATACGTTGGCATGTTAAGTATTGGTAGTGTACACAAACTATGCTATGAATTACCTTCCTGAAGAAACTATTCATGGGTATCAAATGTATCCCTGGGAGTGTCGGATACAAAATGGCACAGAGAATAAACTGCCTGGCGTTAATTTGTACATGTACTATTGAAAATGTTCTCACCTACATTTCCTCTAGGTCTATGAAGCTGCCATCGTCCAACTGAAGGGGTTTGAAGGGCGGCGAAAAGACGAGATTTACCTCCAGCTGTCCAGCCGCTGCTGCCAAGACCTGAACCTCAGCTCCGGAACAACAGTGGAGTTTGAAGTCCGTTTCCAACTCAACCGCTTACATTTCTGCTACATGCACTTCGCTGTGGACAACATGGCGGCGCTTCACGCCATCTTCCCCAGCAGGGCGGACATGTCGTGGTCCTGGGTGAGGGTGGGGGAGGCCTCGCGGCCGACACGCCAAGTGCAGGACGCGCAGCTTAACGCGAGACAGAGGACCGCTGTTACCCGCATCATGAGCGGGACAGGGGACACTAACCCACCGGTGGTGCTGTACGGCCCTTTCGGTACAGGCAAGACGAGGACGATGGCTTCGGCCGCACTTCAGATTCTCCAGCAGCCGGGCACGAATGTCCTCATCGCGACACACTCCAATAGGTACGTTTTGCTATCTACTATCCTATATCAAATGTAACGTTTTACATTTGATGGGGTGCTGGATGGCAAAAACATTTATCACCTGTACATTTGTACGTTGTATCGTTATCGCAAATCAAGTCTCTATGGCGCAAATGGTGATAGTGATTACATAATGCACACAAATGTAATATTTCTTTTGTACCACAGCGCTGCTGACTTGTACCTGAAAGAGTACATCCACCCATACGTCACATCCGGTCATCCCGAGGCGACACCGTTACGCGTGTACTTCAAAGGGCGCCGCCTGGAGACCGTAGACGACACCGTCATGCAGTACTGCAAACTGGACCCCGACAAGACGTCGTTCGACATGCCCGAGATGGAAGACATCATAAAGCACCGAATCGTCATCGTCACCCTCACCACCTCCATGTACCTGATCCGGATGGGCATCAAGCGGGGACACTTCACTCACATCCTGCTGGACGAGGCAGCGCAGGCCATGGAGTGTGAGACCCTCCTCCCGCTCTGCCTCGCCGATTCCACCACGCGTATCGTCCTCTCAGGGGACCACAAACAGATGAGCCCGAAAGTATACTCCACAGAGGCGTGCGACTTATCGTTTGACAAGTCCTTGCTGGAGCGGATGGTGCAAAGGTAAGATTATTCTCATCGATCGAATGCTTTACTGATAATACCTTGGCGAAATGTATAAACGGAAGTTTGTCAAAAATACTGCATTAATGATTTTTTTTATTCCAATATTTAATGACAAGACATAATGACGGCATACTCAAGTTTTCAACTTATTTTTATTTTGCCACTTACCCAAAGGACAATAAATAGTACTAATTTACACCTGAGTTAAGGTAAGAGAGAAAAATCGTGTGAGCACAAGATCGGGGGCATGGCGGGAATCAAACCCAGGGACCCTGGCCTGTTCTGATTGCTGTGATGCTTTTCAACATACACAGGTACATCAGGCTCACGAAGGGTCCGACAGAGAAAGCGGAAAATCCCTTCCTTGTCATGCTGACGGACAACTACCGCTGCCGCGAGGAGATTCTCCGGTTCCTGTCGGAAAGTTTCTACGGAGGGCTGAAGAGCATGGGCCAGCCTCGACATCCGCGGTGGTACCCGCTCACCTTCTTCAGCGCCGAGGGAGACGACAAGACGGGAGACTACAGCACATCGTACTTCAACATGGCTGAGGTGAGGGGTGCTCTAGATAACATTTCGGAATTTCCAATATCTTCATTCTGCAATTGGTGATTACAACGATACTTTTTATTAGATATGAGCAGGATTCTTAATTAACTTGTTCTTTCTGTTTAAACACAAAGGTGTTGGAGATCTCAGAAAGAGTAGAGCAGCTGGTGAAAGACTGGCCGGAGGAGTGGGGTGAACTGAAGCTGGGAGACATCGGAGTCATCACACCATACCACAATCAGGTCAGGAACTGCAGCAATATTAGTCACGGGTTTAGGAATGGTTCTATTTCTGCACTGATGCTAAACGTTCAAGTTTGAAACCTCATGCTTTTATTCTCTTTTCACAGACACAACTAATCCGGAAAGAGCTGCGTCGTAAACGTTTGGGTGGCGTTACTGTGGAAATGGTAACCAACATCCAAGGTAGGTTCTCCTTGACTTACGTGCTTGACTTATTTTACCATTGTGCTAATGCTATGTATATTATACTGCTTGAGTACCTAAAATGCCCCTAATGTGTTTCCTATGACGCTGGTGCACCAAAAGCAGCAAGATTCGTTAGCTATGGGAAACACAATGTATGTTCTGTGCACATGTGACGTGTACAGTTCATAGGTCACTGTATTTGTTTTCCAACGACTTTGTGATAATAACTTAACGTGCTGTTTCTTATGACGTGATAACAAAACTCTTATTCAGGTAAGCAGTTCAGGGCAGTCTTCATCAGCACGGTCAGGAGACTCAGGACCAGAGCACCCTGTGACCCGAAGAACGACAAGAACAGCTACGGCTTCCTGTCAGACAGTAAGCTCCTGAACACCGCCATGACCAGAGCGCAGTCCCTGGTCGCCGTGGTAGGCGATCCACACGCGCTCTGTTCACGAGGAGCATGCCAGCGAGTCTGGCAACACTTCATCTCCGCATGTGAGAAGAACAAGAGTCTGTTCCCAGAGACCCTCACCAGGAGCCAAATCTACGAAACAACTGAGAGCACGACTCTCAACCCAGAGGCACAGCCTTTCACTCCAAGAGGTCCTACAGCTTCCAGGACACAGAATCAGGGGGTCTCATCACTTGGCACTACACCAGGATCACTTGACAAGCCACTCACGAAAGTAGATGAGCCGGACGAAATCATCAGACAGCTCATTCTTGAAAGTCTAGAAGACGAGAACGAAGAAGAAGCAAGGCGTTTCAAAGCCCAGACGTTCGACCCCGACAAAGTGACCGTGGTGCCAAGCCAAAGGGACCCATCGCAAGTCTTTTTGCACTACAGGTCAGGACAACGGGCAAGTGTGAGACGCCCAGCCCCGTCAAGACTGCAGAGACCCCGCCTGGGAGCAGACGACGCCGATAGGGAGTACGACTCCGGTGAGGATGAGCCGTATGACCCCACACAGCTTGAAGTCCAAGAAGAGAGCGACAACAAATGCTTCTATACGAATTACTCACCGGACGAACTGGAAAACCTTCTCCGAACTGAACCAGACCGGTACCGAAGATGTAGGCTGATCGTGAAGGGAACTTACACAGCGTACGGTGAAATCATTGGTACAGACGAAAACGACATAGAGATCAACGGCAGAAAGAACCGAGGGCTGGGCTGGACAAATGACGAGGTGGTGGTGGAAATTCTCGAGAACGCTGATGACCCAGAGTCGGAAGTATTCATGACTAAATCAGACACCAAGAAAGGCAGAGTCGTGGGGGTCCTCAAATCAGCAGTCTCCTTGCGCCTGAGGAAGTTCGTCTGTGTTGTTGACAGCAATAACACTAACGTAATGGTCCCCATTAATGCCGAGGTACCAAAACTAGTGACCTACTACGGCAAAGACAACAGACGACAGAATAAAGTACGTGTGCACAGCTACATGTCGGACGCTTCAATCAAGTTCAAGAAGTATGAAGACATCGACCCCAGGAATCCTTACAAGAAGTTGTTTGTCGTGAGATTCCTGAAGTGGACGCCGAGGTACGTCTACCCCCTGGGCCTAGTGACTGATGTCATCACCCCAGATAGCACACTGGAAACAAGCATGGAAATACTCAACCACAAATTCAACGTGCCCAGCAAATACAGGGGGAAAGTCGAGGAGGACGTCAACAAACGGTACTTCGTAGATTGGCAGATCCCGCCGAAGGAGAGAAATCAGAGAAAGGACTTGACCAGAACACACACAGTGTTCACTGTAGACCCACCAGAAGCCAAGGATTTGGACGACGCCTTCAGTGTGGAGGATAACCTCGATGGAACCTACACTGTCGGAATACACATCGCTGATGTCAGCTATTTCCTCCCGGCTGGAAGTGATTTAGACAAGGAGGCTAAGGAGAGATCCACTACTCTCTATCCACACACTGGGAAAGAACCTGTCCACATGATCCCCAAAGGGCTAAGTGAAGGGGTGTGCAGTCTGCTACCCAACAGAGATCGCCTGGCCCTGTCACTGTTTGTGACCTTTAACCGTGATGGGGATACTGTTGACGAACCGAAGATAGAGAGGTGTGTTATTCATTCTCGGGCGAAGCTGAGCTATGCACAAGCAGAGGATATCATAGCCGGGTGGGGCTCCTTGTCCGTACCGCAGGAGGTGCAAGACAGTGTCCGCATACTGCACACAATCGCAGCGGCCCGGCGGCAGAAGAGGTTGGGTCCAGCGCACCTGTACCACCAGCCAGACGAGGACAAAGACAGAGCAGTAAGAGCTCACACAATGGTGGAAGAAATGATGATCCTAGCCAACACCACAGTGGCTCGGGTCTTACTACAAAAGTTTCCACAGACCACGCCTCTTCGTAAACAGCAGCCGCCGAAGCAGGAGAAGCTTGAGAACTGGAGAAGACATCATGCTGGCCTCTCCGGCCATTCCGTCGAGCTGTCCAAGACATTGCCAAGTGATGAGACTACGGATACACCACCCGGCGACATCCCGTTACGTAAAGATATCTGGGATGAGATCAGATTTGCTGCTTTGAGTGGAGACCTTGACACAATACAGCAGCTGGTGTGCACGGATGAGAATCACCCAACCCTGGCTAGAGCATTGCTGCAGCTGCGTGGCATTCAGGACAGAGCCGTGTTCAAGTGTTCAGTCAATAACGAGCCCGAAGATAATGGCCACTTCTCTTTGAACCAATCAGCGTACACCTACTTCACGTCACCTATTCGCAGGTACATCGACGTCGTAGTCCATCGTCTTCTCGTGACTTTGATTGCAAAACAACCTTCGACATACACCTCGGACGATATAACGGAAATCTGCAGTCACTACAACAATATGGAGAACACCGCAAAGACCTACGAACGGGAGACGTTGATCTTGAAGTTGGCTTATGATTGGATGTGTAAACCGGAAGTCATCTACTCTGTTATTGATAATGTGAATGAACAGGAGATACAACTCCTCATGCCGTCTGTACGTAACACAGAGTCGCGTCAGCGGCGAGTTGAGTTCAGCCTACTGAAACCGGCATCTCTGCCAAGCCCTGAAGAAGAGGGGGAATCAGTTGAGGTACGCTGGAAACAGCGAATCTACGACACCGCACCAGACAAGACCCAACTGCCCTGGCCTTCAGACCGTAAAAGGCCCCTACAGCTCGACAGTGAGAAGTATGTGATAAGGATACCTGGTCAGTATTGGCAAAGGCTTGTCCAACATGTACAGGCGGGAAATATGGACCTCATAAAAGGAGTCGTAAACTACGACGTCGTTGCCCCACAAGGGGGGCCGCGAAGTTTTGACGAAGTATCATCGGAAGCGAGGGAAGGCCCAATAGCCGACCACTTCTGTACCTTCCAGATGACGTACAAGCCAGGACAGGTGGTCAAGGTGCAGCTGACGGGAGACATACGGAAGGGTCTTCTGTCACCGTGCATCCAGCTCTTCAACCTGACGCCGAAGATGGACGTCTGCCTCGACCACAGACGGGACGCAGTGACACGGTTCGCCGTGCCCGCCACGCGGTCTGTGGCCAACATACCGAGATACGGGTCAGTCCGAGCGTACCAGGAACGCTGGTTGCCCATCATGGCAGTGGAAGCCGCTCACGGAGCCGTGGATAACAACGAGTCAGTCGTCGTCCACGGTGTGTACATCAGTTGGACAAAACAACAGCAACAACAAACTGGGAGTGCGGAGTACTTTGGTCAGATTACTCTCTCACAGAAGTTCTGCAAGGACCGCTGTATTTATTTCAACCAGGAGAACCAGAGCAATCTCAAGGCAGTTAATGAAGCCGGGAAGCATCTGGACTACATCTGCGTGCGTTATACCGGTGTGAGGGCTGCCATGACTCGTGACGGTCGCTTTGACATCGCTACGGACAAGACTGAAGAGAAATCCCCGCCGCTCGTCTGTTGGGTGGGCCACTGCCTGGTGATGCCCGGGGTGAAGGGCGGTAAACGTGACGACGTCACAGTCCCTATCAGACTTCACCAGCACCTCATGGCGTTCCCTGACGCTCTCCTGCACCACGGCTCGACTATTCCCGCAACGATAGAGATCATCACCAAGACTCTACCTGACAGGTGAGAAACATCGCACTAATAGTAGGTTTCAACTTGACTAGTATCGTGTAGACTTGTTGTTACAACGTATGTTAACACAAGGAGCCTTGGTTTACATTTTGTTATGTCTAACGTTACTCACCAACATGTCCTTCCCAGGCGCATGGAGAACGCAGTAAGGTGGCTGAGCGGCTCTTCAGACCTAGTCCAGCAAATCGCCACGGGCAAACCTATTACTGCTGAAGGTACGAGAGACATTAAAAACACCTAGCTTAATTTTGCTTCCTTGTCGATAAATGTTTGACTTGAATTCCTATGCCTTATACGTGTATGGATGTCCTCTATGCGTATCTGTTGAAATATCTACATCGAAGGGTAGGTGATTTACGGATTCCTAGCTGTACTCAATGAGTTTATTACTGCACAGACAATCCTTTGGCGAGTGAAGTTACCATCAAGACGCTGCCAGCCTTCTTTCCGCTGAACCAAGGGCAGGGGGAAGCCGTGAAACGGGCTATCAGAAAACCGTTCACTCTCATCCAGGGACCGCCAGGTAGGTCTAGTACTGTGTGGGACAATGTATAGTTGTAATTTTATAGGAGCGACCGGGATATACGCAATGTTGTACCGTGTCGATATCGTATCCTTGATATTGATGGTATTAAGAATACGCAAATTTACTGTGTAACAAACCCACCGTTTTGTTATGATGCCCACAGTACACACATCACCGTGTTAAGATGCATTTCTTTCTGATTAATATTTAGCGATGCCATATGCTTATTCTTATTTGGTCCATCGTTAGGTACTGGGAAGACCGTGACAGGAGTCCACATCGCGTACTACCTGGCCCAGATGAACAAACTGATCCAGTCAGTGTCGGCAGAAGGGATGTACCCTCCCCAGGTCCTGTACTGTGGACCTTCCAACAAGGCAGTGGACGTAGTGACTGGTCAGGAAAACAATCATTATTATTAACAAGTCGACAAGTTCTGAAATAAAATATAACATCATTACACTTCTCATTTGATATATGAAATATACACATGACCAGAATTAAAATATTGGAGATACTCGCCACAGCAATGAAGGGAGCAATGCATTGATTGAGAAACATGATATTTTTTTCCAGGATACATGAAAAGGATAAGTGAAGATCTGAAGGAAGATCTGAAGATCGTTCGCATGTACAGCGATATGATAGAGAGAGAAGAGTTCCCCATCCCGAATGAGCCGGTACACCCGAATAAGTGCAGAAGGTAGATAATCATCGTTAATAGTTTGGTCCACATGTGTGCTTTTTACATGTATGCTAGATATCCAGCGATTAAGAACTCATACATGAGAATGCAATAAAATATATAGTAGAAGTGATTTGAACTCGTCATGAATTAAATTGAAAATCAAAATGTCAGCAAGATGGATGTTGCTGAATTTATCTGTGTACCATCTTTGTTGATGTTTATTGTTGTTTTGCTGAACGAACGTTACTCTTGATTGTGTTTCAGCGAGAAAGAGTCGAAGATCACGAACGAACACGACGACGTGTCGTTGCATCACCTCATCCGCAAACCCGGCAATCCTCACGCCGAGGCCATCAGGGAATTTGAGACTCGCTTCAGAGATCCAAACTACACCGTGACAGAAAAAGACATCAATGACTACAAAGACCGAATTACGAAAGCCAAGGTCGGTGTGTTTACGTTTCATGTCATGTTTTCTGAATCTCCTCCTCCGGAATGATTCGATGTTCTTTTATTATTCCCGGCCTTGTTTTGATTCTGGTGATGTTGATCCTGCAGATTCATGAGCTGAGACAGAAGCACGTGATCCTGTGCACCTGCACGGCTGCGGCCAGCCCCAAGATGGGCATGGCGACCAACATCGAGCAGTGCATCGTGGACGAGTGCGGCATGTGCACAGAACCGGAGAGCTTCGTGCCCATTGTTGGGGCTCCAGTGGAACGAAATGAGTAAGTGGTCTATCGTTTTTGAATATTTTTTTACTTTCTGCCAATTTTAAGAAAAACAAAATGTGTTACGGTGTCTTATGATGATTTTAAATGGTGATATCTCTCCAACGAAGATATGTGAAAATTCTGACCGATATAGCCCACGTTTGTATTGAAGTTGATTTGGTTTTGTAAAACTAGGGACTGAATCATCTTGTTTCTTTGAGCAGTTAAGTCATAGTCATGAGACTCACAGTAAGAAGTAGTAGTAGTAGTAGTAGTAGCAGCAGTAGTAGGATTAGGGTTAATTTTTTGGTTTTCCCACTTCTTTGCCGTTCGCTGCAGGTCCACGACATTCCACAACCCGAAGCAGGTGATTCTGATCGGTGACCACCAGCAGCTGAGACCCGTCGTTCTGGAGAAGTCGTCACAACAGCTCGGGTTGGACACGTCACTGTTCCAGCGGTATTCATGGATGGCGACCATGCTGACGACACAGTACCGCATGGTAAAGACACTCTCTTCGTAGGGTTTGACACTGTTGTAGTTATAATATTGGAGCCTTTTGAACGCAACGCCCTGATGCGGGGAATGACAGAACTTCCTAAACCAATTTAATTTCAAATACCTGCGATAACGATTGATTCATTTTTGACATAGCATTTGTATCTAACCATGTTTATACCTTATAGTATATAGATGCATTTTGTAATTCCCACTATACAGCTGATGAGCTCATACAGTATAGGATACCCAGAGTTGAACCACTGGCAAAACCTGTATACTATACTTACACTATTGATATTTACTGACAATTACTGACATCGTCAATGGTGAAATTAGTGATTATTCATTACGTCATTGTTTTGAACAGCACGTAGCCATCTGCAGTTTTCCTTCCCGAGAGTTCTATGAGAACAAACTCCGTACTCACCAGTCCGTCACGGCGAGGCCCCGGCACCCTACCCTGGACGGGCTGTGGCCGGGAGGTGCGGGCAGACCCACGGCCTTCTGCCACGTGGTCGGCAGGGAAGAGGTCCAGACGGTGGCAACGGCGGAGGGCAACCAGATGTCACGGAGCAACGAGATGGAAGCTGACATGGCGGTAAGGAAATCCTAACAAACGCACTGTTACGTTGTATCTTGCCTCTGCCAATACTTTCAAGCCCTGTACAAGTGCAACCATCAGTTAGTGCTGGTTAGGCGCTTTCAAGTGCAATGTGAAAATTGTGGGGTCGTGTAGCGTAACGGCAGAGTGCTCGACGTCGACTAGGAACCAAAGGTCCCGGGTTCGAGTCCTGACATGCCACCGATCTAGTGCCCTTGCGAAAGACATAATTCTGTATACCAAAACGACTTCCCTCACTTCGCTCAGGTGAAAATAAGTATTGTGTTGTCCTCTATGTTGGTGACGGTATTAATATAAGTTGAAAAAAACTTTGCCGTCACCATGTCTTGTGATTACATGTTGGAATCTATATTTTTAAAAAATGTGAAAATTGACGTTTAAATGGGACGACAAAAGGACAGTATCTAGAATATAAGAATCAATGTTGAAAGTCTTGCCGACCGGTGTAACTCTAATGCTATAATTTTAGCATGACAGTCGTCGGGTGCCAAACCCAGATAGCAGTAGCTATAACTTACTCTCTCCTTTATCACAAGGGTCCATTTGTGTCTCTAACAGGTGAAGATGGCGATCTCTTTGGTGAAAGAACACAAAATCCAGCCTGAAAACGTCATCCTGTTGTCCCAGTACCGCGCACAGTGTGCGCTTCTCTACAAGAAGCTGTCAGCAGAAAGGAGGAAACTGAACGACGAGCGACTGGAGAGGGTTGGAGTCAACTCAGTGGTCGCTAGTCAAGGTAAGGTATTGAGCACAGTTCCAGGAATACTCCTGGAGGACACACGTTTGATCAGGTTAGATTTAGAAATATGAATCACAACTGAAAAGTTGCATTTTGTTGCCTTCGAGTTTTTGCTTATGGTATTTGAATACGGTAGTGTGTAACCGCAGACCGGCCATAAGTTCGTATTGGAGGTCAAAATCGTCTCCCCACAAGGTGGGCGGACAGAATTAGCGGGAAATCTACAATGATAATTAAAAGAGAAGAAATTAACAACTGTGAATATATCAAGGAGGTTTGTAGTAATACTGAAATCTTGCGTTCCATTTTCACAGGAAGCGAGTGGGATTACGTCATATTTTCCACGGTAAGGTCTCTGCCGTCGTATGAGATCGAACACAACCCTTCCCCCAGCTGGCTCCGGAAGTACCTGGGTTTCATCACGGACCAGAACCAGGTGAACGTCGCCATCACCCGAGCCAAGAGAGGACTGTGTATTATCGGTGGGTAAAACTACAAAACTAACAAGTTTGCCCTTATATAACTACTACATGTACTTCTACCATCATACAAATGGTTAGAAAGGTGCATATTATTAGCGCATTTAGGCGGTTGGCTACTTGTGGTCGGGAGCTCAATCGTGTTGATCCGAAAAAAACAACACATTTACGGTGTTAAAAAGTTGCAAGATCTTTTTAAGTAAGTGTTCCTACTGTGAATGAGCTTATCAAAATTCTGCCTTGTCTCTCACACTGCAGGTAACAAGAACCTACTGAGGGTCCATCCTCTTTGGAGCAAGCTGATCACCGAATACGAAAATCAGAAGTGCCTTGTGAACAACTCGAACTTCATGGCCCTTCCCCCGTCCCAACAGAATGCATGGACAGGGGGATCTTAGCAGACTCAGTTTAGTTTTCAAACATTTCTCCTATTACGTTAGTGCCGTGTTTTTGTGTGTGTTGTGATTTCGTTACTTTGGCCAGAATGCTTCTACTGATAAATAAATGTAAATAAATGCCAAAAAGATATTGTGACAATTAGCAAGCAAAGTCCTAGTTGGAATGATAGTAGGTTAGTAGAGTTAGTAGTGTAAAATAGCGCGATGGTCATGTATGATGCACTGACAAATATTTTCGTGACGACATTGCAGTTCTGTATTTGAAATTGATTGTGTGAGTTTGTGTATAAACTTGATTCTTTATTGTTACTAAAACTATAATTGAATGATATCAGTTATACTGAGAAATGTTTCTAAGTAATCAATCGGCAGACTCCCATCACGTTTTATTAAACAAGATGTTTGTGAATATGTCTGAACCTATTTGGGAAAGCCTTCACTAGCTTTAAGCCTAATGTCGTGTATATTTTCATATTTTACAAGTCGGGACTTAATACCCTATGAGAGCCTAATCTGCAATACCGCTCCCGGCCGCCTCCAGGAAACTGCGTGGACCGTCAAAGTTCCGAATTTCGACCTTTTCGCGATCGGGAGTGGGGAAATCGCAAAAGGCTCGTAAAGGGGCTTTAAATGTTTAGATTTACTTGAGCTTGATGTTGAAAACGCAACCATTTAGAATCAAGAAGTACAATTGTTTGACAACCTTAATGCTTAGGTCATAAATCATATGTTTCCTTCGCTTGTTGCCCATGGAAATGGTCGTGTGTACACTTTCTGTTAAACCACCAAGGTTTCAACACCATCATCAAATAAATTGATGAAACAAGAAGTGGGGGGCAACGTTCTGCCTTTATAGGTGTGTTGCCTGCCCTACTCCATCAATACAACCCAATGAACTTTATCGATCCCATGTGCCAAAAGGTCCATGTAGTCCCTCCCCTGCTAGCGTTCTTGATCTTGAAGCTTTTCTTACTATTGAGCTATCAGGTTTTTCATTTCTAGTGCAGGTGATGCTAAAGAGGCTCATGAATTTAAAAATGACTCCTTAGGTTTTTTTTACCTTTCCATTGCTTTCGCCACAAAATAACTCTACATGTGATTTATGTTGTAATGAAGTACACTGCTGGGACATCAACAGTAAATACAAAAAAATGCAAGTTGTGTTTATTGTTGTGCAGAGTGTTTAATATTCAGTCTTGGCACAAAAATAAACATAGCAGCATTATCATACAGCAAAGACAAACAAAATCCCCCACAAATATCTCCACATGTATTCCAGTCTTTCACACAAACTTTAATAGAATTCCATGTCTCTTACCATGTGTGAATACTGTGCGGGATTGTACTTTTTTCATATAATTGGTAACAATCATGATTATGATGTTCTACTGATAATGATTTTCTTCATATTCCAACATGATCCACTCAAATGGAATTTATTTCCATAGAAATTTACATTTCTTAAAAAATCATTAATCCTGTGAAATTGTGCTGTGTAGCCTACATTGATTTATTTCATTGCCCAGTGCCATGGAAAACAATTATTAAGACTACTTAACACATCAGTATATGCATGAGCAAAATCACAAAACTGTCAATAAAATGTCAGCATTCAACATACCATAACATATTTCTCAAATCACCTCTTATATATACAATATATGAAGTTCACAAGAGAATTCCAAAAATCTTTTAGAAGAAGCTGCATTTAAACTACTCGGTTTGAGTTTTACAACTATAGAACTGGTGAAAAACCATCCATGACTATGATCTACTTTTGAATTCTTTAGTGGTCTCTTGTGATATATATATATATATATATTAAGAGAAAGGAATGTGCAAGTCTCTATACATACAGTACCAATGTAAAGAAATTTTCCATAATCAATTTCATACATAGGGTTTGAGAGAGCAGTGATGTCTAATAATGATTCACATGATTCCACTGTTTTCTCTCTGTTTCTTTCATTAAGTCCCCCTGTGAAGCATCTGTATCAACAAAAAGCCAACATAATGCTCCTTTCTGTCTAAGTCAGCTCTGTCGGTATCCACACAGAGCCAACGAGATGCTAAGTTCTGTTTACTGGTACCCAGTGAGTTTCATCATGCTGGGGTAGCGTGTGCGGACTTGGCACACCTTCTCCTTGTCGATGAAGATGCTGTTGGACTTGACGGCGATCTCCTTCTCCAGCGTCATGCGTGTGTCCATCAGGTCCTTCAGCGAGGCCTCGGCATTCTCCAGCTTCCTCTGGAGAGCCTCGATAGACTCTGTGATCTCTGTTACCTCAGTCAGCAGCCTGGGGGGACAGACAGGAATGTTATGTTTTAGCTTCACCTTGCATAATACCACAGATCATGACTCAGTGTTTTTAAAAACTTTTTTTAACCTAACTGTGGGCAGTAGTATTTTGAGATACTAGTACAAAAATCGTGCTGGCAATTGCTTTCTCAGAATACTACCATCTATTCTAAGAAGAAATCTTACAGGGCAAATTGTATTATTACTCACTACAAGATGTAAAAGGTAGATATAGTCTTAAAAAAGCAGAACAAAATATATCATTAGAATTGGCTTGATTTCAATACAAGGTGAGTTATCTGGCAGTGTTTTCATCCATGTCCAGTGAAATAAAATGTACATTTATGTTGCTTTCTAAATCTCACAATTATGTACCAGGTAGAAAAGCTAAAATTAAAGGACTAAAAAAACAATCCAATGCTCACCTTTCAGCAGCGGGATCGCGGCAGAGCTCCACGTTGGGCCGTGCGGTGCGGTGGTGCAGGCGGGTCTGAGCGACCTGCATGGGCGGCCGCTTGTCTGCGATGGCCTGCTTCAACATGGCGATGTTCTTCTCCTGAGAGGCAATCTCCTGTAGAGTCTGGGGGAAAAAACAAACAATGGAAATCAGACTTCTGTCTAACAAACAGCCTGTCAAATGATTGCAAGCTCTGAGGCTACAATCTTGAGGCTATTCGCAATACATTATGTTTAGCTTGAAAATGAAAAAATTAGAAGCTCTCCACACATACCTTCTGTAGATGGTTCTCCAGTTTGGCCTTGGCATCGTTGAGTTCCTCCAGCCTCTTGGCCATGGCAGTGTCCACGGTGTTGCACTGTTCGTGCATGTCGGTGGACGTGTCTGAGATGACGTTATCGATCAGGGCGCGCAGGTTGATGGACGCCATCCTCTCCTGCTCCGCACGCACGATGTTATCGTGGCTGTACTGCGCCCAGGTCTCCGGGGTGGAGGAGCTGCCGAGAATTGGGCAATTAGACAACGTGCTTCAACAAAATTGTCAAGGTCTCTTTTCTAAGACAGTAAATGATATGTTTATAATAAATGACAGCATAATACAATAATAATTTAAAGAGATGAAAGGGGTAGCAAATCTTTTTAAATTTCATATTGAAAGAAATGCTGTCATATTCTTGGACTTTCGTGCTTCTGAAATTATTTTCCCAAACTTTCACAATCCTTTTTGTGTAAACATTTGACAGTTTGAGATGAGAATTATACTTACAACTCCTGCCACTGCCCAGTGTTGGGGTGGTACTCGATGTCTGTGGACTGGTTGTTCAGACGGGCACACTTGTCGTCGATCTCCAGAGCCTCCTTCTTGTCACTCCAGTCCATCTCCAGGTTCTGCTTAGCATCCCGGTTATTCCTGCAGAAATACAGACATACACAGATTAGACTGGGAACTTTTGAGAGGAGTATTGTGTTCAGAAGTACTGCTTGCATCAGATCTGCTCTAATGTCACTATGTTACTTCTGGGTAGCCATGCTTTAATGATTTTACCTGTTCAACCACAGATTCTGTAGCCGATGCTACTTGAAACATCTGACAGTTTTATAAATTTATTCAGTTATGTACTTGAGTAACCATTTTTTGTATTTTAATCATTCTACAAAAAGACTGCTTCAGAACCAAATTCTCCCTTTTGTGTACATAATAGTAGGTGAAAAAAATTATTAACTTTGTATAGCAACTGTAAATGGATCTAATTATGTGTGAATTGTGCACGTGTCTGAACTCTCAATTCTTTTGTTATGAAAGTGAGCACCAATTGTGCTGAAGTGGACATTGTCATGGCAACTGAACTGACCTGATTTGGTTGATTGTCTGCTCCAGTGTTCTTCTCAACAGGTCCTGCACACTCTTAATGATCTCCACTTCCTACAGACAACACAGGGTTGGAACATCAGTCAGTATGTGGATGAACATGTCAGGACTGTACATGTGTTCAGACTATTTGATATCTATTCATATTTCTTTTTTCCAGGGTGGAACTCTCACTGCTTGGCCCTAGGCACATATATATATAATGTGATAATATATACAAGACAAGAACAGTGCGTCAAAACCATTCTCCAAACTAGCAACCAAATTCATGCCAGTTTGCGAGGGTTAAAGGTTAGAGGTCACAACATAGAGGTGAACCTGACCTTGACCAGCTCGACCTCGGGTTCGTCCCTGACCAGGTCCACGCCCTGTCTGCGCTCGCGGCTCTCCAGGTTGTCCAGGGAGATCTTGTAGGGGATCTCGGTGGCATACAGGGCATTCTCCAACCTGGGGCAACCAAAACAACCTTCAGTATACATGTACATCCACGTACCAACAAAGCAGTCTGAAGTAAGAATGCCATTCCTATTGTCCTATTACCAGGAAATAGCACTACCACTGTATATTCTAGAACAAAGACAATGACATTGAACTGTGCCTATTCTATCTGTAGACATGGTTGGGTTAAATGTGCCACTGAACATGTAAATCATACACTAGTATGTGTTAAATGTACAATCATGCCTACCTCTTCTTCTGAGCCAACAGAAGGTCTGTCTCCGCAATCACGTCGTCAATTTCGCGGTTCAGCTCCGACTTCCAGAAGGTGATGTCGTGCATACGCTCGCCCAGCTTCTTGGTGACGTCAGCCTGCGTACGCTGGGTGATGGCCTCTGTCGTGTTGGCTGGAGGATCAAAGTAAAGGTGTTGTTAACTATGATGTAAGACTGTTCACTGGTGTTTTTCCTACCCTCAATACAAGATCAAATGTTATTAAGATATTCTAGTACTAGTACATATTGAAGTTTATCTATCATGGTAGTTTCAATGTTACTACTGTAACAGAAACTATTATATTCATGAAGCAATGCACCTAGAATGACAGTGCTCTGTTACACTTTACCTATTGAATACAAGATAGACCAAGTATGTAGGATATATAGAAAAAGACCAGTGTAGCATTGGCTCAGGATCATTGGCAGCTATGGTTTCTGAATACCATGTTGCTTGAAGGTCATTGTTATTAGGCCCTTAACTTCCAACTTAGGAATTAACACCGAGCAAATCGAGTTTTCACACAAGCTAGTCTGACTTAACAGAACAGTCGTGTCTTTTTAAACATAATTTTGCACAGAAGAATGAAGACAGGAAAGAACATGGCGGCAGTACCTAGCTGTTTGGACTCATGTCTGAGTCTCTCGGCTATATCCCTGTCGGCGAAGGCCTTGTAGTACTTGTCGTAGTTGGACTTGTGCCACTCGTCAGGCCTGTACTTGGACGTACGGAAGCCAGCCGTCGCCAGCCCGGCCGAGGCCTGGGCCTGGGCCGCGATCTCATCCGCGTGGGTCGTCTGGGTCTTGAAATAATCGGCTACGGGCTTGGGCGGGTCCCGCTCACGAGAGAGTAGCAACGCTCCTGTCGACATGTTTCCTGCGGTTTAGAACTCGTTCAAAATATCTAGAATTCACAGTAAAGCTTGGGGAGGATGATGTAGCTCACAAGCAGTACGCCAGCTCAAAATACTCCGTCTAAAAGGGATTGAATGGCCGGTAAAAACACTCGCTCTCTCCCTAGACAACACCAAGCATTTACCGACGGTTTGTGTACGGTAACCATAGCTACGTTTGTTCTCACTGTTACGCGCCAAACAGCTGACACCGATTCTCGAACCCCATTGGTTGATGGTAGCCTCATTTGCATTTCCGGGGTATGGTGTCTGCCCCGGGCGATAGAGAGTGCTCGGTTGGTAGAAGGTTTATATAAACAAAACGATTACGTTACTTATAATGAGCTTGCATGGTAACGTTGTGCTAATTACTGTAATGGCGCCGACATATAATCTTTTAATACTTTCTAAATTTCGCCATGGTTTGTAACCATTTCTACATGCAAAGCAACGCACATTATATAGTAGTCCACAGACGAATGGCCAAGAATGTCTTGTACCTCCTTGATTAACGTTAACGTTATATCATTTCCTTGCTGTTGTAAACAATACACCGATACATATATCTTAAGCGTGTGTTCGTATTTGGTCTATGAATTGTATATGTACATCTGATGATCTGTCGTGCGGTATATACCGTGTATCCAATGCTTGACCCTCCTTGCTTGAATTGACCTGTGGTGTAACTAACAAACGCACCGGTAACGTTTTAACAACTTAAACCTTTCTCAGTTCTCCAATTGACTCACTACGCGAGCGTTTAAGTGGTTCTAAGGAGTTTGATAAGAAAATCGCTTCCCCCTTAAGAGCGTATCCCCATTGTAATTAATCCTCTTGGCGACTTAAAACAGTAAACAAGTGTTGTGGACAAAACAAAGCATTTCTCTTCAGCTTGTTGGTTACTCAGTGGAGTATATCTCTCTCTGGATTTTAAATTTCTCAGAATATCAATCTTAACTCAACATTGCTAATCTTTATACCTTCCGTGAGTTGAAATCATATACTAGTACATTGTACACGTGAAATAAGTGGCAAACGCGACACTCTGAACTTTGAACCGCCTGTCACTGACCCACGCAGAGCTGTACATACAAACAACACACCTCACCTGCGGGGCCTAGCAACCGGCCTAGCAACAGACGCTTCCCGGTGTGGGACAGGCGCAACACAGGCTGGGCTATACGTGCTAACAGGTGCGGAAAGAGCGTCAGCTTTCGTTTCAAACATTCGCGTGTCCGTATTTTACGGAGAGTTTTCCGTTCTATTTTCCACCATTGAGATTATCTAGTAAATTCGACAAGAAGCCACAGTGTGGTCAGAGAAAAACAGAAGAAGCACCGAAGCTGTTTTATAGCCCCCCCTCCCACCGGTCTTTCCAGTCAGCCCCAGGACGTGTCTTGTACATTTCAAGCCAGGTTTTTGGACGGAAGGAAAATTTGAAAATGACGGAGTCAGGACTGCGGCCGCGTCCGGAGCTGGACAGACTGGTCATGCCGGACCCTAACGCCGGCGGGAACGCCGTGCAGCAGATAGAACTGGCGCGGAGACTCAGGTGAGAATGAACGGGCTTGAATCACTAAGGAGAGACGGGTATTGTAAACAGTTCTAGTCGTTCACATACATCCTGCTTTTCGATGGACGTTTCCTCTTAAATAATACGACTAGTAGTAATGTCTTCCTGCCATTGGTACCTTAACATTTCATTGCCAGGTGATTGCATGGTACGAATTACTTTCTTAACTGACCTAACAAAATGGTGTGAACAGATACAATATGACATTTTGTTTTTCGATTTATGAAGCAAAACTGGACCTCTTTTCATAATCATTTCCTTGGCATTAGACAGGACTATTAAAACTGTGCATCCCATCTGCATTACAACATTAATGTGCAATGTATCTAGAATCCAGCACAGCATATCGTGTTATACCTGTATGGTATTCATTCATTTTGCAGTGTAGGCAGACCACCCTATACAAATACCATATATAGTTGCTGTTCTTTTTTCTTCAGTGTGAATGTTAACTGTATGGAGGGAAAACTTGACAAGAAACATGGTTAATATGTTTGATCACTTTGATGTGTTCCATATATCCATGGATACTGTTACAGACACAAGTGCAGGTAGTGCAATATGATCATAAACCATACCACAGTCATTATGATAGTAAAATATAATAAATCTATATACATTTCCAGACATTCCAAGTTCCCTACGCTGAAGGGGCGTGCAGACGTGGACAGTTTCCAGGAGCTGCGGAGTGAGGCTAACCAGCAGTGGAACCCCAACGCTGCTGCGCCGCACGGCGGATATCCTGCAGCTCCCATGAGGGACAACATCCCCATCCTGGAACCCTGCAGCATGTTTGTCAGCCCTGCAGCTGAGGTGGACAGACTCACAGGTATACTGACAATACTACACAACCCAGAAAACATAATAACTGCTAACTATACTGACCTAAACCATTCACTTCTTGTCAGATTGTGCTTCCTGTCGCAGTAACTGCATTTAGGTTTTGATTAAGTCAACAATAATGGCAACAGGAAACAGTTTTACATCCCATGTTGTCACAGTAAGTGAATGGATATATTGAATGATGGCAGGTGTTGCTTTTGAAGGCATAGTCACTGTATTGTATAGGATATGATCTCCAAGGAGACAGCAGTCATTGTGTTCTAACATCCAACAACTTCTAATGTGTTTCTCCATCTGGAAATAACATTGCTTTTGTGAATATTTGAATCACTGAGATTAAAAGAATTGCAATGTCCAAAAACAATTAGGTATTACTCAGACAGTCAATACTTACTAAGTTACCAGTGTTTTTAGTGTATGTACAAATGTACCCTAGCCAAGGCTGATGCTAATGTATGTAATGAATCTCTACAGATGACCTAATTTGATGGTATTCAACATACCTTGATTGGTTTTCAAGCATTTCATTCTTGTACTAAGTTGCAGGTATGAATGGCAGATAGGTAATAAGACTCCACAGCCATGACATACTAGTAGTACATCAAGTTCCAGGCCACTGCATACAAATCACTGACAAGAATGTTGATGTCTTACCAGAAAGTGTCATGTGTTACTAACCTTGGTGCTGAAAACATACTGATGTCCACAGTTCTACCACCAGTTGGTCAGCCCTGGGAGGCAGAAGTACAGGGGGATGATTTTGAGGATTGGATCAACTTTTATGGTTTGTCTTTATGACCTGATAGGCTGGTTATGTGGTGGAGGGACTGGTGTGTGTATAGTGGTGATATTATATATAATATCTAGAGCATGGCAGCTCGTCATTGTTATATACTGTCAGTGTACTATATTAAGGTATGCCAGTGGTATTATGTGGTAAGGAAATCTGATGACAGCAAACGTGACAAGGTTTCACTTGAACAGTGTTATTGTACAGTCTTTGTGAACTAGTAATGTCTGTGAGAAATGAAAGACATTGAAAAGAAAAGCGGACAAGTCTACAGACAGTCCTAGTTTGCCACGTAAATGTGGTGGCATTATTCCACTGACATGCCTTGATAATATTTACTTGTATACTTACTCTACAGTTCAATGCATCCTAGTTGTGTGAACAGAGAACTGCATGCAAGTGTAAGACCTTCACACCATGATTATGATTCAACCGATGCTGTTAACACAAATCTACACGCATTTCCAGGGAGACATCAGATGCCTTCCATGGTCCAACACGAAATTCGACCCAACATGGCCAAGCCCGCCTCCGTACCCCCTCCCTCCAGGACCGTGGTGGACACGTTACCGAAGTCAGCGCCGGCGGGGTCGTGGAATGCCCGGAGTATCCCCGACGTGAGCATCAGGGCCCGGCTGGGGGGGTGGACCAGCCAGTCCAGGGTACCCAAGGGAGCGCCCAGGGAACCTGAGAATCTACAGACACACAACTTCTGGTTCGAGGAGAACAGACCACCAACACTAGATGGTAAGACGCAATAATCCATATGAAGATAACAGATAGAAATGTATAGACCCTACAAAAATATTCTAAAAAGACATTCCAAAAGAGAAATACATTAGACAAAATACACGGTAGAATATCACATCAAACAAACTGGGTATGTTATTAACCATGACCCAATTTCAGGATGTGATTTTTTTCACATCCAGTAATGACTGTCATCTGCTTACATTTTGAAGTCTATCAGATGCCTTCCTCAGAGCTTCTGACTGGAGTTCTGCTTTTTTCTGTTTTGTAGGTGATCAGAATGGCCGAGGATGGAGAGACCAAGCTGCCAGGAAGTACATGTACACCTCGTCCCAGCAGAGCGCGTACGAGACGGTAGACTGGGACAAGAAGTTACCAGACAAGGTTCGCCCTCCCACCGGCACACTGGAGCTCCAGCCTGACCAGGTCTCCTACCACACGACGCACAAGAGGTACATGCCCAGGGCAGAGGAGTGGCAGCGGCTGGGCAGGGCCTGGGACTGGTTCCAGCACAGGGACAACTTCACCCCGGCCAGGCCAGTCACCTTCATGAGCCACTCCAAGAAGGTCAACCACATCCCGTACTACGACGGGCACCTTCCCGGATACGGGGACAAGGACTACCCCGACACCGCGTATCAGCCAATCACGGTCCTCAGGTTGAGCAAGCCGCGGTACACGGACACTGCTCACAGACCTAACATCCCCGGGTACCAGGGCTGCGTACACTGGCTCGCCACACACCCCGCTCACGCACCTCCCAAACAGGGCAAACCAGAGATGCCTACAACTGCACGGGAACACAGGCAAGTCATCATCAATTTACAAACAACTTTATCTTGTGGAGAATGTGCATCGACATTATCCTTCTGGATTTCATACAGTTGCAAAAGCAGCTTTACAACTGTAATAGAAAATAAACTTTAAGGTAACTGTAATAGCAGGACAGTGTTTACAACTGATTTGTGCTGGTCAGATGAGACATACACATAATAAACATGGCACACTTCCAAATAAAAACAAGTGTAGTACTGTTTAAACTTTGCTGTTGAAATGACTTCTATGAAATGCTGATATGTTTTTTCATGCCTCATGCAGGAGGATGCCATACTCACCGAACGACTCAGAACACAAGCACATGTCCACAATGTCCAACATGGTCACCACTGTCCCGCCATTCAACCCATTCAACAAGGTGGAGAGACAAGACATCGACATCACCAAACTGCCAACAGCAGTCTCTGCTTACTAGGACTCACACAGACAAGTTATTTTTGAGTTTGCTCAGTGCATGGCTGAGCAAGTGACAACTTCTGGGCGCTGAATTAACGCTCACTGAAGCAGCATATTCTCCTCTCCCTAAGTTAGAAACATCCAGCTTAGGCAAGTTCGACCAAGCTCCTTGGTTTGACGAACTAAATCAATAGGTAAAGCAGGGGTTGTGAAGGCTGCTGCGTGGGATCTCTCTACAGCACAGTTATAGCGGGAAATGGATGGTAACGTAGATCTGGACATGGTTTTAGCAAGACAAAAGAGGTCTGGTCAAAGTGTAAAAATTGCTGCTTTTCACAAAAACCTAAAGGGCTATCTACATTGTATTTCATGTAATATAGGGGTAGATAGGCATTGTTTTAAAGGGAGGGAAAAGGGGCACACACAAAATGCCACATGATATTACAAAGAACATGATAGTATTACATGTAAGACATATTGGAGTCATCTTTTATTCATAATCAAGATAATTTTACTTGACTTTGCATATAGATAGGTTTAAAAGAGAGGTAATAGAAATGACAAAAGATATTTTGAAGTGTCAAAGTGATAAGCAATTGACATATCTATACTGTCTTTGACAAAGTTGACACTTTTTATGATTTATAATTAATGAAAATGAAGAGGCTTGACTTTGAGAGAATGTTTTTTTTGTACATGTATCATGTTGTTAAACCCTCTTCCTGCAAACAGGCTTCTTTAGCAGGGAGAAGGTAAAGTTCATGCTGCTACTGTTTGATAAGTATTGAATGTTTAAAATGGCAGAACATTACAGAGCTGGAGAGCTGGATTTTAACTGTAATGTAAAATATCAAGTGTTCATTGCTGCTAAACCAATTGTGTACAGTGCTCACCAGTTCCAAGTGTTTTGAGACTTTTACTGTTTTTGATGTTCCATACAGATATGTTCATGGGAGACCATTTTTGCCAGTGTCAATTGGTTTGCAGTGGATGGCCATGTAAGAAGAGTTTGTATAGATATTGTACATAATGTGTATTTCACTTTTACTAGGTTGAAATTTTTTCTAAGGTTTGCACCAATAAAGTTGCACTCCACTACATTCACAAAACTGCTTTTTTGTTGTGTTTGTGTATATATATGTGTGTGTGTGTGTGTGTGTGTGTGTGTGTGTGTGTGTGTGTGTTTGTGACTGTGCCTGTATGTATGTATGTGTTTGTGTGTGAAGATGGTTGCAGAAGGAACTGTTAACAACTGGAAACAAAAGAATATAAAACATGTTGTATAATGCAGAATATTGAGCCTGTGCCTGCCCCCTACATATATTTCCTTACATTTGACACAGTAAAAAGGTAACAACTTTATCATTGCTTTTCTTATAAACTTTAATAAGCTCCTTCCAACTACATATAAATTCCATCCTGGTTTCCTTTAAAACAATATATAGATCCTCTTAAGAAATATTTCCCATTTCAGTTGTAAAAGTGAAAAAATATTCTGTTCAGATGCCAGACATAGTAGCAGCAGTTTTCACAAAAGCACACAAGTTGCATGATGATAAGAGCAAAAAAAAAGAGCCCTATCTTTTTTCCGGTTACAGTTATAGCCAAAAAAGAAAATGATGTACTCACTACAAAGTAATAGCCTTCACTATCATACTGCAGACTTAATCACAACATCATTTCTGTATAAAATCATATCCATGTCATTTTGCTTTTAAAACCTGTCACCCCACCATTACAATTTTGCATTATGCTAGTAAGTAATTGCCATGATTCTATCATCATCCTCATCATTGTCATTTGCTATATGGTACCAGAACCTTAGATAAAACCTGGCAGACACCATGTAAAACTTATACAAAGCAGCATATAATATTTAAGGTTCTATTTTCTAGTAAAACTGTAAGTGAATAATGTTGTGCTGTCATAGCAACACGGTTTTAAAATTTGATTTAAAAGATCGACATCGTGTCACTGCTACTGCACGTGTACTCCCCCTGTCCCCCATTAAATCTTACGCATCAAGGAGATATTTCCATCATTCAAAATATCAGTGACAACAGGCCTTGGCCAAAAATATCATTTATGAATTATCTTAGTCTTTTTTCTAGAAATTGCACAGAAATATAGTCAAAGAATTTTCACTCAATGACATAATCTTTTAAGAGAAGCAAGGTAGTACAATATTTTAACGCTCCTAAAAGCAGTCTACTTTCATCTCATTTATCCCCCCCCCCCCAATAGCTGTAACAACCTGTTGCAGAACCAATTCCAAGCCATATCATTTTCACTGTAAAAATGAACCACACAAAATAGCTGAATTGATGAATGTAATGGATTGTTTTGATAATCTGCCTACCAGGAGTTGCTGCTATTCGCAGACCCTGATTGGTTGTGGTCTGTGATTCAATCATACTCAGAGCCAATGGTGAGGCTGAGCTGTCCTGGGTGGATGTAGGTGCTGTGGAACCACTGGTTTGTGTCCACTATAACTGTGATGGGAGGAGAGGTGGAAAATCAGACAACCATTAGTAATTATAGAAAACTACATTCATTACACTTCTAAGGATAGAGCATTCAGGAAATGGCATAAAAGACTGACAGGCAACATGGCACTTAATACATAGCTGGTATTCTGATTATGAAGTGCTGCTGTGATGACAAGTTGGGCCAAAATGCACCTGAAAAGGCATCTATAACTAGTATAAGGCAGTAGCATCTGACTTTTTATACATTTTTGACAAGTAAGTTCTTTCTCATGCTAGAAGTACAATATATAAGTCTTGCTTTGGTACAAGTATAATAAATATGTACCTACAATGTGTTATCACAACTGCTAACTATCACATGTTCTATTGGGACTGTTAAGTTATATATTGACCATGGTAAAATCCTAATCCATAATATAAGCTCTACTGCTGCAGCTATGGCTGAACAGTCCTATACAAGAATTCCAGTCTGTAATTGGTGGTAAATATGGGTTTTAAAATAATACAAGAGATATTGGCACTCACTGATGTCTCCCTGGTTGAGGGTGATGTTGAAGGTGTAACAGACATCCTCACACTCAGGAGGGGGGATCAGGGTCCAGGTCTTACTCCCCAGGATCATGGCCTGCCAGGACGGCCGGTCCACATGGTCAATCTACAGGGGAAACACAAGCAGTCAGACAAAAATACACTTGTTATCAGTTCAATGTACACCAACTGATAATAGATTTACTATTCTTTTTGTAAAAATGAAACTGCAGGTGTTAAAAAATCTTGAGGCAGTAGCACCTGACTTGCATCATATACCAGTACATTATGTCGATGAAGGTTAGACATCCAGGTAATGGATAGATTTTTTCAGTCACAGATTCAAGTAGTTGGTGGTCATTCTGGCAGTTTTCAAACCTACTTATTAGCTTGAGTAACAATTTCCTGGTGTGTAATTATCAAACAGTAACAGTAACCATACACTATTATTGTCAACTCAATTAAAAAGAGTGCTACTAGTAAAAAATGTATAACAGCATAAACAACATATGTGTGCATTATTGACATTGGACATCATGAATAGCACAACTATCCTTACATGTATACTAGCTCCCACACCAGACCAGCCCATGAACAGCCAGTCAGTAATACTGGACTCCGAGTCATCAGGTAGGAAGTATGGCTTCTGGTAGTGCTTCCTCAGGGCTGACGCTACAGTCTGGTCACAGTTGCTCCTGTGGAACAGTCAGATAAATTTTGTTAGGATAGAGACTGAGTGACAGTCCATTCTAAATTAGAACATTTGCAAAGCAAATACATAAATTATACCTTGCTCACATATGGTCTAAGTTAACCCAACAAACCACTGCTCAACTAATTCACACTGCTCAACTAAAACACATTCTTATAGAAATACATAGTGACCAGCCCCTCGAGCTCTGTCCTGCTACATAATGCACCCGACACCGCAGGGTGTCTACCACAGCACTAATTACCACATGGTGACAGGTGTCTGGCCCATGTCATTGACCAAATGTGTTTGAAGAAGAAGAGACAGAACAAAAACAGGACTGGTATGTAATTGTTATTCTTCTGCAAAGGTAAACATAATAACTACATGGAGTGTCATTGTCTATGAATATTTTCAAATCTTAATAATTTTCAACATTTTGAATATTGTTCTAACTTTCTAAATTATTTCCATGGTTTGTGTACATAAATGTTTTTATACTCATGGCCATGCCCTCATCGACTTGAAGTTGGGTACGTTTCGAACATTTTCAAAATGATACACACAATTTTTGAATAATACCCTCTGTGGAAATACGTATGGCTTTGTCTTTACCATCCGAAGTACCAGGACTCCTCCCCCTCTCTCAGCTCCGACCGGGCATCAGACATGTTGAAGGCCTCCTCCAGAGATCCAAAGTCAGTGTTGTACGGGAAGAACTGACAGTCATCGTTCACCGCGTCCAGTGCCCCTTCCGTTCCTTCGTACAGGTCCTTGAGGAACTCGTAACTGAAGGCTTCCATGGCGGTCCACGACTTGGTTGCACCTTTAACCAGCAAAGGGACACCAGAGTAGGCGTACTTTTGCAGGAAGTCTTCTTTCGAAATGTTCTCCAAAACAGGGGCGGAACGAATACCTTTGCACATGCTGCAGTCAGCGATCGGCCTGGTCATCTCATCCAGAAGTGTGGGGAATTCGACGGCACACGGGGACGACGTCAGGCTCTCCATCAGGTTTTCCAGGTCGAAGTCGTTTTGGTGCAACTGTAGCCCCACTGCGAGGAGACAGGGAAACAGAATCCCGACAACCACACGAACCACCCATGTGGCCGCCCGTTTCGAGGGTTTCCTCCTCCCCAGAAATATCTCGCGGACCTCCGCGTTCTTCAGTCCTTTTTTCTTGGCATCTTGTTTCAGTTTTATGAACTCTTGAACGAGATTTTCCACGTTTCTCTCCTCAGTTGGCGCAGCGTCGTCTTTTCGTGACTTCCTGGTCGCCATCTTGGCCTAGTTGATATTAACTAGCAATTAACTCAAACAGGCGCGTCTGATTGGTCAGTTAAAATCACGTGATACGGATGACAATGGCGGCAAAGTTTCTAGTTGTTTGGCAAGTTTGAAGGACAGTATTCTTTTCTCCGACATTAACAGATTGAAGAGTTGAATTGGTTAACGCAGCTCTTCGATAGAAGATCAAGCAGGAATTCTGTCAAAGGGATAGGTAAGGTGCATTGGCTTATGTTGAGAAATACTTTAGCCCTTTAGCGTTCCATATAGTGAACAAAATGCACAAAATGTCGTCTGCTAGCTATTTTGATGCTCAAACTAAAATACTAGTAGTGAGTAGGTTATTGCATCCCGAAATTTTGTGTCACAGAACTTGTTTTTTTTTTCTTTAACCAGAATGAATCAGCGCGGTGGAGGCGAGGAGACTACTGACTTCACTGGACCTGATTTTTCTCTTTCAATTGACGGGTAAAGAGAGGATATAACTAATTCTATTAGTGATTGTGATTAGAATGGGATTATCTAATTTTATGTATACCACGTCATACGTTCTGATATTGGTATCTGATATTAGTAACAATTATGTACTATTTGTTCAAAGTTGATGATGGCAATCTTTTACAACTTGTCTGCCTTGTACAGGTCGTGGTGCCTTAAAAATAATTGTGATGTTGCTTCATCTTCAGAGAGGGAGATCTGTGTACTGAGAATGGTTGTGTGAGTGGTCAGGAGATACAGCATTCCTTAAAAAGGAAGAATTCAAAGGTATGCTTATTTTTAATTAACTGTCCTACTTTCTCTAGTTTTGAGAAAATACAATGCAGGAACATATTTTACCTAGCCTGCTTAGCAAACCTATTTTAGCTGCCGAGTGACTCTTTTATTATACCCTCTCCGGAGAGGAGGAAAGAGACTTGGCAGCTAAAATAGGGTTGGTAACCAGGCTTACTTTTACCTTCCTTGATCTAAGACATGAAACAACCATGTGCTTGTATCTCAATATTTTCAAAAGCAAGTGACACCAGATACTTCCAAAGGACCAGAGGAGGAGGTGACCAAGAAGAGACACAGGAACACATCAAGTCCTGCAGCTGATCAACCTCATGGACACTCTGGGTCCAGCAAGTCATCTTCAGAAGACATGGACTCCATGAAAGCACTCAATAAAGGTGGGCAAAATTATGTGCATGATGAAAAGAGAATAAAAAGCACATTTTGCCAATATAGATCTATAGAAAAAGTGATTTTTTTTCACAATACTATATCATTGTCTCCCCACAATCCTTCTCATCTACTTCTCTGTATTACTACAAGGGCACCATTAAGTTTCTGTTATTCTATTTTCATCCCCCAGAACTTGGTCAAGAAATGAAGATGATGTTTATGAACTGGGCTGTTGCTTTCAGGTATGGTGCTTCAGTATGCTGAATCATGAAATAACCATTGAACCACACAAATTCAAAGACATGTTGAGTTAATCTTGCCTTTGGAGAATGTTGGCATGTTTTTATGAGCAATAATATTTTGGAGTTCATGTTGGTTGTCTTTGATGAATTCAGTTGTGGACCAGACCACGTACCAATTTGTAGTCAGTAGGAAGCCAGTTAGCTTAGGTCCAGCTAAGAAAGAGTGTTCATAGCCTGCCAGTGAATCCTTTCTCTTCCCTCTGTCCTGTCCAGTGAGAGTGAGCAGTTTGAGTTGTTCTGCCCCACCCGTGTGGACAGCTTACTGCAGGAGGCCAGGGCCCTGGAGGAAAACCTCAAGGAACAGAAGAAATGTCTTCTCCAGCGTCTTCAAATGTTGTCACAGACACTGCAGCAGGAGAACTAATAGCACCTTTCAGTAAAGGCTTTCTAACATAGTTGTTGACTAATCTATCACTGTTGGAAAGTCCTGCATGGCTACAACATCATGGGAAAGACTCAGAAAGATAGGCCATAGCTTTTGAGGCTCTTTCCTTGAACATGTAGTTAACTACAGCATACTTGTTGTTCTACTAGTTTCCCAGAAGATGTAACAATAGAATACTGTAGAAAGAACATTGAAATTTTTAATTTTTTTAATTTTTCTACTTTAATTGTGAACACTGTTAAGAAATTGGTTTTCTATAATTTATGAATACATATAAATTGCTGTCTTTGGCAATAGCATTCCTGTTCACATTTTGGGGCTTGCAACAGCCAGTACTGGCTGACATTTGGTTGTGTCTGCACATCTTAAAGCATTGTATACTGTAATTTGTTTCTTGTTTTCCCAATGGGTTCAATATACGATTATACACTTCAGTGCAATCAGTCTGTTCATTTGTCATCATGGGAACATGTCATGAAGGCTACAGGTGAGCATGCAAAAGCACACATAAATAGAATATGCCAAACAACACACTTATAAAGGGGACACTTTTCAAACAAGATGCAATCTCCTAGAATATGTAGTAGAGCATATAGATAGATGCAGCCGGCACAACACACAAAATATCTTATTTAGAACTTGTACATAATTTACAGTACAGTTTACGTGACAGGAAAGTTTTTTTTTTTAACTACATCCTTCATGAGCCCTCCATGAGCCCTGCACTTCTACAGTAGTACCAAGTACACATAATATTTGGTTCAACTATTTTTCTTAGCCAGAAAGGTGTTGAGAAAATCCAAGTAGACTTTCTTCTGTGGTGCTGATGTTGGTATGAAGTGACCTGAAAAGGTATTTATTTGTGGGTTAAGTCATGACAAGACAGAAGAGAGTGTGGATTATTTAATGTATGGCCTTATTTAATAATAGATACACTTATAGGCTAATCTTTGCAAAAGCACCCAAAAAGAAAAGTACAGTACTTCATCCTCACCTCCTTGATGATTCAACTCTACAGGTTCCTTGAAGTACTGTAACATCTCTACACTCATCTCTGAAGTAAAACAAAAATTCTAGTTAAAGCTTACAGCATTAACCAGAAAAGGCATTCAATACATGATCCCAGTGAATGTTTTATGAGAGTTGTTTAAAGTTAAAACTTTCGTTCCAACACAAAGAGATTGTTCTCACCTGGTGATCAATGTTGGCCCCCATTGTGGTTGAGTCTATTGAGGAAGACCAGAGTGACTGGTCGAAAGCTCAAGGTGAGGACAATCCCTTGTGTTGGAATGAAAGTTTTAACTTTTAACATGTAACTTCCTACAAAGATGAACTTTTGTGACAGTTCATCAAAGTTGTTTCCCACCTTTTTGTATAACTCTGTCAGTGTCTCCGTACACATGAAGGGTAGGACAGGTGACCTTGGTGCTGTACAGCTCATCATGCTGAGAGGACCTGCTGCGGAACCCTGCCACCATGATGGCAAAGTCAAACGCAAACGGCTCCACTGAAACACAAGAAAAAGGTCTTAACATCGTGTAAAAGAAACTTCACTTAAGGTCACTGTCTTCAGTGAAAATATGTCAGAGGGCCTTCCTGTAAATCCATTGAATCCTTGAGATGAAACATTCATCAATCATACAATAAAATAATTACCATTCAATAAAGAGTATAAACGTCAGAGAAAGATTTCAGCTAATACAAATACAAAAATTTACAAGGTTATAGTACTAAAACATTATTGGAAATACTTACCATTCTTTTCCCTGAGTGCACAAAGCATAGCCACAAAAGAAGCTCCTTGACTGAAACCTAGAACACCTGTACAAAAACAGAAACCTGGGTATATCAATATGATCATATCGCTTGATATCAGAATTTATCTTAGTACCCATTTTTAATGCATCAGCACAAGCATCAGATTCCATTGCCTTATATATAAGTTATAGGTTAGGAAGAAAGTGGCAAAATACTTAAGTACAACAGCAGTTCTACATATACAATATCAATTTGACATTTGAATATCAAACACTGATAATACAAAGACAATAAAAACTGATAAACTTACCATCAAATGGGCCCTGCATTCATGATATATGGAACAGAATAATAAGCAAAAGTCAGTTGTAATATTGTTTTACATAAACAGCGCAAGTCATTAGCTTAAGGATGACATGAAATTTCCATTAAAAAAGACAAATGTCTCCACATTTCGACACAAAAATGAAAAAGAAGTAAACAAAACTATTGAATTGTCTAGCAACAATTACATCACATTCTTACCTGTTCTTTGAATACTTGTTTCACCACCTCTACAGATTGGTCAAACCCTTTGCAGACATCTGTGTAGTCCTGAGCATGGAAACTGTCATCATTCGATGAGTACCACCACCCATACTGATCTAATAAGGAAACATCATATTATTACTTTGAATAATAGGAACATCATATTATACTTTGAATGGCTATAGGATATAACTGTTAAACTTAAGAGGCAGATAAAAGCGCTCTAAGTACACTGTGATAGACAAATATCTAAAGCAACTTAGGAATCTTAGCAAATACAATACCCCTACCCAACTTATGTTTCGTACAGGCAACAAAATCCAGTGATTTAATACAGAAAGAATCTATATTTTTCATGTACTTAAGTATAATATCATAAAAAGCAAAATGCAAATTCAGATGACGTATGTACCTTCCTTGCTGGCACCAATCGCTCCCCCCTCTTCATCATTGTTCTCCAATGGCTTGACAGGCAGTGGTGCAGTGATGAACACTATGAAGTTAGAACAAATAGACTCTTACGTCTTAGCAAACCACTAGTACTGACAGTCACTGATCAGTTGCTGACAGTCTCATTTCAGTCACAATTCTTAACTGTCACAACTTTAATGCAACTGACAAGTAATAATGCTTCCTAGGAATTATTCTGACTGATCTCTTACTGACGGTTACTGTCTTGAGTGTTGACAGAATGCTGACAATATACTATCAGTTCAGAAGACACTGCAAGAGTGATTATGAAGTGACAATATTTTGATAACTCTGTAACTTTACATCATCATACTAAATCAACATGTAAAGTACAGAGATGATGGTGGGAGCCAAATTACCTAGTTCAGCATGCTTCTTCAGAATTTTTCTGAAGGCGCCTGTCCTTTCTCTGAACGTTTGGGCATTCTGTCTGTATGTGAAAATGAATGATGTCAAAATTAATGTCAATTTCTCTAGTACACCACAAGGCAAACTGTATATATCAACTTTCTAACGTACACGTGTGATGCAAAAATTCCAATACATTGTTGCAGGATATGAACAACCAAACATAACATACCAGAAATATTCATAATACCACCGCAAAAAAAGAACGTTCAGGAATTAGCAGAGCTAGCTTTCAACAAGAAGAACATAAGCTGAAATTACAAACTTCTTACCTGTAACCATGTATACAGAGTACCTGAAAAGTGTAAAAATGTAGAAAGGTGATGTTAAACAGCGATGCAAATATTATACACAACTCATGATTTTTCATGGGGAGGGGGGCAGTGAGACGTCAACATGTAATTACTAACATGTCATTGCCTAAAAAGACCAAGTATTTGCATAAAATGGACTGTACTCATACACTTTCGGTAAACAAACTGAAGAACATCATGACATTTGTTGTTTAGAAGTACTAGAGACGCAAATCCGCATATACCTTCAGCAACTTTTTGCCACCGTCGGCCATTTTGGTTCCATGTAAATCTAGAGAGACGCCTCGCGGAATGATTGTGAAGTGCATGCCCAGCAATACCAAATAGGGCATTGATGAAATATATGTATTGCTTTATTTGTTTCGTTTGCCAAGTAGGAGTAAGTTACCCAAAACATACACTATACAAGACGCTGTCTAGATGAACTACATGCTAAACGCAATGGGCGATTCTACTACCGTTAGAAAAAATAAAGCCAAACTTCGCATACGTTCCATCACAATATTACTGTTTTAAGTATCGTTACTTACTTCTTCGATTGAACTTCGAAGACACGGTGTGTTCGTGTAATATAGCCAGCTGCCGCCGCGCCGCGTGCCTGCGCGAAGCTGGTTAAGAAGGGCGGTTAGTTGTACTGGCTATGATACATAACGTTTTTACAGATGCAGATAACCTTCACATCCAACTCTAATTTAGTCTAAACATTGTTTTAAAAAGCTAGATCTAGATCTAGTGATGATGCCCCTACTGTTCTTGGTGGCAGCGATTCTACGATGAAAAACGAGTATAATATTAGCTTTGGACGAAGTTTGTAATTAGTGCATTACTGCACGCTCTGACCTTTCACTAGTTCGAGAGTATCCATAATGTATGCATGAGTCATGCAACCGTTATCTGATGGGGAGGGTGATGTCATTTAACATACATGTCAACCTTGCATTCCGAAGCTATGGCCTCTATATGTAGTACACTCATGACACTGTACACTAGCTGTAATAAGCTCGTTGGTTTTTACCATCAAAGAGGACTTTCTATAAACACTGGATAGACGCTGACATGATATAGACTACACTCGGAACAAATAAAATCAGGGTACACAGTTTTACCTTTCTTGCAAATCGTAAACGTTGAGTCACAAATCTTTCCAAATTTGAACATCATAGGGTCATCTCTACATCTCTGGTGGTTTGTCTGTTTGTTTTTTCAATGAATCAATTTTGAAAATACTATCAATGAATCAAAGAGTTACGATTACTTATACCTTATCATATTCGATCTTATACGATTGCTGCTTTTTCACTGTCATGAATTCATAACAACGGGAATACTCAGTAGCGTCAGACATACATTGTACATGTAGCTTAGGGCATTTTCGTAGGTGGATGATTGTCGGCGTCCTACATCTATACAGCACTAATGATATTGAAGTGAAACGTCGGTATGAAATGACAATCAAAGCCGATATGGCCACAGAATATCGCCATATAAGGAGATGTAGAAAAGGCAGTGAGCCGTGGCACCGCGCGGCGATATCGAACTTGTCTATCTGTGAGCGATACTGCACTGTGGTGACGCCCCACTGGAAAAATACAGTTCCTGGCATGTTTTTATGTGGTAGTAATGGTTTTTAGTATGTCCTGACATGCAACTCTGGCGCGGTGTTATGTATATATATGGGGGCGTGATTCCTGTTCACAGTCAAGTGAATTACCTGTATGTCATGAATTGACCATGTATAGGTGATGAGTAATGTAACTTCATAACATCGAAATGTTAAAGCCATGGGATGATTATGAATGGATATAAGGGGTGCAACGACTTCGGAATTGTAAAATTTGTATGGAAATACGTTTGTTTTGTATTATTAATTCAAGTATTGGAGCATCTAGAATTTGAGGGACATCCTTTCCCAGTAGGATATAGGTCCCCTTTCATTGACCATTTGACATTGACTTTTGCCGGGAAAAAGCTTTGGTTACACATTTCTAGCTAGCCTTAGCCTAATGGAGCCTGGTTTTGGAGACTGTTAGGGGGGGGGGGTAGGATCGGACGGATTCAACAATCATTCAATCCATCAGCGTCGACAAATTTTCTGAAAGTCAGCTTCACCACAAAGTCACAAACTATCAATCAGCACTGACTATCGATGTTTGATTGACCGGTATACCGCTCCCGTCACGGCAGACTGAGCGCATCCAGCTTTCAAGGAACCAGGACAGGCATGTGAAACCAGCGGGCCGGGGGGAGTAAATAGAGTCGCAACACATTTGCTTATTTGCAGAAGTCTTCTCAAATTTGACCCCAAATAGCAATACATGTTCAAGCATGGTGTTTCATGTCACCCAGGATCAAATATAAACATGCCAGAGAGTCTCGACTGACTTCATATCATAAAACGTCTCTATCAACTGTACATGTAATACGTATAGACGTAATCTTATCTCAGACATTGTCCACATGATTCCTTTCCTCTGATAAGCAGCCCTAACAACGCTTTCTTGCTAGCTAAAACATAAATTTCTTTTTAGCAGCTAGAAATAAATGTCAGCAGAAACCACGATGTTAATATATCGGGTCGGAGAAATGGGTACGTTATCAGTAGACTTTTGTAGCTTTCTACACTGTGCTTGAAGTACAGTCGTGTAGGGTATCAAATAATGGGTCACATATGTTTACAAAAATAATGTTCTCGCTCTTGTACAAGTTCTACACAATACGGAAAGGAAGAAATTGTCTTCTAGACTAATGTGTTTTATTGATATACAGGGTACATACTACATCCGGACCCGTCGCAACTGTCCGCCCGTACAAACGTCGCGACAAGTTCCTAGCACACATAGCCGGCATAGCTGGGATTGTCCTTGTTTCATCGCGGAGGATCCGGGTTTATCCTTGGGGTTTGGATTACGTGAAGACCCGGGAAAGGTCATCTCAGACATTTCCTGTAGGAGCCTGATTGATGCCCGTGTTGAGATCCCGCGTCTTTGCGATGAGTGAAACTCGTGATAAGATAAATGACTCGTCTGAGGTGTAGAGGCGATGGGAACAGCATCGCGACCCTATAAGGCAGAGGAAAAGTTGTATCGGCGGCGATAGGAATGGAGCTCAGAGGTAAACACCTTGAAGGCGGCATGCAAAGTCAGCTGGCAGCGTCCAAGGCAGTTTAAATTGAACAGAAACACGTGTTGCCGGAATGCCGTGTGTACCTTGTCCCGGGTCTGGCATTCGCGGCAAAACCCAAAAGGCGGACATTCCACCGCCCAGGTCTCAGCCAATGAGAACACGGCAGACAGGGTACTCCGGCGGGCGCAATCTCAGGTCTCACCATAAGAGGAATTACTCAAAAGTACTTTCCTAATAAGGGCGCCAGTTCTTGGAACAGATGACGAGGGAGGGGGTGAAGGTGTATATATTGAAGAACCCCTCCAGTCGTCGATCAGATTGCAGATCAAGATTCCCCAAGTCTTTTCTTTGTCAAGGTAAGCTTTTTTCACTGTCCTGTACGTCTCTAGCTAGTCCTTAGATACAGGCATACTAACTCTTCGTTCTTTAATATGTGAATGAGATGTATTAGAAGAAAGTTCTGCATTTAGCCAGTCCACGATTTGTGTGTACTAGTGGGAAAGTTGGACACGTTTTCAGAAGACGCGCCCGTTAAGAATAAGCCTGGATCGATATCATTGCAAAGTATTTACCTACGGTTTCTGACATAGTAATTCTCTTTTGATTTAGAGACACAAAAATGTATGACAATTGCTTTTTGGATGGTTGTACGGTACATTTGGCACATTCTACGCATAAGTAACGTTGGTCTAAGATGCTATGTGGGCGCTCTTTGTACGTTGGTGTATGTAGTGACATTTCGCACACGCATACCAGGGGCTCGTTCACAACTGTAACGTTACATAGCACAGTGGAAACAATGACTTGGTATCGGAAGTACAAAAACCCTGTTTTGAGACCCAAACTGTGAATGCCATGACACTACCGGCTTTAGATATCAAACACACCATGAAACCATAGCTCTTTAGGCGACATATGGTTCAAGTCCAAATGTCGGACTTTGCAAAAACCGCTGGAATTCACTCTGTTGGTATTGGGCCCCAAATAAGGCGAAATCGAGCGGGCTGGAGTGGAGGAATGTAAACTGTGAAGTTTGTGGAAAGGGCGTTTAAGGGGAAGTGACAAATTAAAGTTCGCTCGGAACGCTTCCAAAGTAGGCTTTGACATGTGACATACTGCCGCTCCGAGTCGTGTAGCTCAGGCGTTTGTTTAGTCTTCTACTCAAGAACCGTTATCGTGGTGCTATCACAGCTGACAACGCAGAGTCTTCTTCAGTCACACTCACACCTGCACTATGCTCTAATGGCAGCACTTACAGTTCTGGAACTGTGTAACACTTAAGAAACACATCTACACAGTTTGTAACCATTTTGTATTCAATTTCAGGCCGGATTTAATCCCTTAAACAACTTTCACCATGTGTGAGGAGGAGGTCGCTGCCCTGGTTGTGGATAACGGCTCCGGCATGTGTAAGGCCGGCTTCGCGGGGGACGACGCGCCCAGGGCCGTCTTCCCGTCCATCGTCGGGAGACCGAGGCATCAGGTGAGAAACCGGCTGACATGACACACACCAGACAAGACATATCAGCTAGGGCAGTTGTATATTGAGACATTCTATAGTGAGGACTAGAATGTTGTTCATCGCATTTACTTGATATATTTGTTCTGTTCCAATCTATTGGCTGTTCAATCATATCTTTTGCTCAAGTGGTATTTTTATAGGTAATAAAGAACCTCCCAAAAGATGTCTCGCATTATCAACTCTATATTTACCCAAACATAGCTAGCCTCTTCAACGTGGGTTGTCACTGCTTTACTTTTAACGACGACACCGCGTTTTGTCTTTGCGCGTATACGAAATTTAAAAAAAGATAGTTAACTGAATGTCCACAAAGCTGAATTAAAGGAAGGAAAAGAAATTAAAATGGGCGATAAATTTTAAATTACCTCATCCGACCCTAAAATGGAGTAACCCTGAGTGAAAGCAGAAGTCTGTAGTACCCCGGTGACAAGGCCAGGGCAGACGTCTGTGGAATGTCGGGAATGTCTCGTACAGGTCAATACGGGGATTTTCCGGAGAAGACATTCAAGACATTGCAAAAGATCATACAAACCGCTGCATCCTGGCCGGACACATTGTAACGCCATTGTCTCTTGTTCAAACAAAGTAAACATTTAGAGTCAATGTGTAAACCGTTATTTATGTAGGTCACAGTTTGGTAGATTTAGCTATAAATTTTCGACTGTGACCTTTCACAGAAAACGACAATCTGAGGTAATTTGTAGAACAGAATATCTGCTAGCGCTGCCAAACACACACCAGAGTAGGAACGGCGTTATGCAGGTCTCGGTCGGACAAACGTTAATGTCCAACCTACTGCAACTTCAGATTGACGTGAACCACCTTCTCCGGTTTTCACACCTTTGTATTTCATCAACTGATTCCCGTAGAATATAGACATTTTCCAGCTGTACCCTTTCCCATTCCCAGGATGCACAGCGCCAGATGGTCGTAACTCACGTGTTGCATTGGAGTTTTTACATTCGTTGAGGATTGGGAAGGTTGATCTCTTAATATTTATGTAACGTTGTCTACAACATCTGTTAAATTATTTCGAGAAATGTTGTTGTATCTCAGGATATCCTTTTCTACTGACAGGTGGTATGACGTTATCACTGTAGAGAGTGACGTTACAAATCACATGTTCCCTGTTTACTAGAAAAAAATACAAGAGAATTTTACATTCTATTTCTTGTCAGATTCGGCTAGAAGTAAGTCGCCTAATCTTGAACACAAATGCTCGAACACCGCAAAAAAAAACTAGCTTTAACCGTATATCGTATATCGATACTTGTATCCTGGGAATGGAAAAGAGGTAAAAAAAAAAACTATGACTCAATGCAGTGCTCTATTAGGTTCATTGTTGTTTGTTTCTCTGTCAAATCTATTTATTTGTCTGTTGGTTTGAGTGATAGTGGAGTCATTAGTACTTGTCTTGCCGACATACCGCCCTGACGTCTGACCACCTGTTTTCTGAGTGCTGTCATCTGTCTCTCTCTCTGCCTTCTCTGTACGTGACAGTTCTTCTTTGTGGTTGTCCAGCTGTCTCCTCTTCTGTTGGAGGGTGTAAGGTCAGTATCTCAGAGACTATACTTTCTTTGCCTGTACTTGTACTGCTTATCCCATGTTGCACACAGCTTAGCTCAAACGAAGAAAAACAAAGAAAGAAAGAAACATAATGTTAAAGTTACACTCTATCAGTTGTTTCGGAGCTAGAACTGCAATATACAGTCCCTTTGTTCTGCCCTCCCATCTTTTAGAAAAACAGAAATTCCTCCCCTTTTCTTCCAGTCTAATGCTTAGTGCTTTCCTCTCGCAGGGTGTGATGGTAGGCATGGGCCAGAAGGACAGTTACGTCGGCGACGAGGCCCAGAGCAAGAGGGGCATTCTTACCCTGAAGTACCCGATCGAACACGGCATTATAACCAACTGGGACGACATGGAGAAGATCTGGCACCACACCTTCTACAACGAGCTGCGTGTCGCCCCGGAGGAACACCCAGTTCTACTGTCTGAGGCTCCACTCAACCCCAAGGCTAACAGGGAAAAGATGACACAGGTATGAGCTGTTACAAGTACGCGACGAGGGGACGCTATTAAGTTTGGTAATAATCTATCGGTTGATCAGTTGATGTTCTTTTGGCTAATTTGTTGATTGATTGACACACAACACTCAGTTCTTTAACTGTTTTCCCTCCTTCTAGATCATGTTCGAGACGTTCAACACCCCCGCCATGTACGTGGCTATCCAAGCCGTGCTGTCCCTGTACGCCTCCGGCCGCACCACGGGGATTGTTCTCGATACCGGGGACGGCGTGACCCACACCGTGCCGATCTACGAGGGGTATGCCCTGCCGCACGCCATCATGAGGTTGGATCTCGCCGGGCGGGACCTGACAGACTACCTCATGAAGATCTTGACAGAGCGAGGCTACTCGTTTGTCACAACAGGTGTGTATGCGTGCTGCTACTACAAATAGTCATTTTCAGAGTACCGACACTTCGTCGAAGTACAAATACCAAGGCAGGGCAAATACGCGTAGATGTACTATAAACACCTTTTCACTTCTGTTCACAGCTGAGAGGGAAATCGTCCGTGACATCAAGGAGAAGCTGTGTTACGTCGCCCTGGACTTCGAGCAGGAGATGGCGACGGCCGCTACCACATCCAGCCTGGAGAAGAGCTACGAGCTGCCCGACGGCCAGGTCATCACCATCGGGAACGAGAGGTTCCGTGACCCTGAAACGCTTTTCCAGCCTTCTTTCATCGGTATGTGTCTCTTCTGTTTTCAAGTAAAGCGTTCTTTAGTGGTCGTGACGTCAACCTTACCTCTACCAGTCTTCGGGAAGCGGCTGGAAAGAGTAAGAAATTGGCCACATACTTAAGTATTGCCAGGGGAGTTGGTTCGCGCTAAGAGAACAGTTTGCCTCGGGAGCAAGCCTATTTGGCCAATTTCTACTCTTTCCAGCCGCTTCCCAGAGCCAAGAGGCTACTGTCACCTAATCTAACGCAATGTGACACGTTCACCAAGCCTATACATTATTTACTGCTTGTTGCGCAATTTGTTTCTACCCCATCGCCAAGTTTAGTCAGACAGGGGATCATGTGTAGGGGCGCTATTTCGAGGGAGAAAATTCAATTAGCGAGAGAATGTGGGGAAGCTAATCGATTTTGTGTGACAATATTCTGGTTACTTATGGCAAATGTGAGCCGAGAATAGGTCTGGTTGTTTCGGCGATCGATTGATTTGCTCCCAGAAATCGGATTAACCTCTCTGAAACATGTTCTTATTGTTTTAAGGCATGGAGTCGGCTGGCATCCACGAGACCACGTACAACAGCATCATGAAGTGCGACATCGACATCCGTAAGGACCTGTACGCCAACACCGTGCTGTCCGGCGGCACCAGCATGTTCCCCGGTATCGCCGACCGTATGCAGAAGGAGATCACCGCCCTGGCACCCAGCACCATGAAGATCAAGATCATCGCTCCTCCCGAGAGGAAGTACTCCGTGTGGATCGGCGGGTCCATCCTGGCCTCCCTGTCCACCTTCCAACAGATGTGGATCAGCAAGCAAGAGTACGACGAGTCCGGGCCTTCTATCGTCCACCGTAAATGCTTCTAGATCTTAAGACAAATATCCCAAAAAAAAGATAACTAAAATATCATATATTCAGCACACCCAGACTGCGTATATGCACGCCCGATTCTATAGATCACCGATAACACTTGTATGGACATATAAAGCTCCTTTTTAGCGGAGGAACTCCAAAAAAGACTCCTGATTTCGTATCAGAGATTTTAACCAGAGGGGATACCTGGTGCATATTTAAAACTGTATGACGCGCAATCTTAGGCTGTACGTGGACAGGCGTTAGCATGGCGGAAAGTTGCGTCCACTAGATGAATAAAATAGATGAGGTATTATTCCGTTATAACATTGATTTGTTGCAGCTGCTCATTCGCGTATTCATGTTGCAAATATAATTCCATATTGTATAGGATAATAAAATTCCAAGAAAAAAAGCATCGTTTGTTATGAGAGTCTTCTAGTACCCGTTGTATATTTTGTTAAGACTCAGCTGGTTTTTGGTAACCGCGCATGCCTCGTTACCTGTGCTGTTTGCGGTGTTACCTGGGATATCCTCAGGTGGTTACAGGTGGTTCACCTTGCACAGAGATCTCAGGTCAACACAGGAGCCTTACAAAACAAACATAGGCAACCCTAAGCCTTCCGCGGGATTCCTTTGAGTGCACAACGGCACCTAAGCTTTAAACCAAATTTACCTACCAACAGGGTTCAATTGTTTTACCATGTAAACTTTCAGCGGAAACGGTGGACATGGGAAATTCTTAGCTAGCGCAGGACCCCTCCCCGCATTTACGGAATCATCCCTACTCCCCACAGACCCAATCCTATTGGAGTATAATATGGTTCGTCCCGGCTTGAGAAAACTTGGAAGTTCGCCAGCAAGTTAAATGATGAATTTAGGATTCAGTAGCTCTTAGTCTGTGACAGCCAAGTGCCAATTTGTTGTTATGTGCTAAACCCCGGTGTAAGCTTTTGAAGTGCAAGGTCGGTGTGTCTGGGGGAGGGCATGTGTTGGGGTTGAACGAACAGTCTGTTAATGTGCTAGAAACGTTTCGTGACCTTCCATGTTTCCTTGGACCTTCGACAATTTGTTCCATAAGCCACAAAAAACACTAATGACTATCGATAACCCAGTGAGACGCAAGCCAGTCGCCATACAGGTGCTACAGGCACCTCTACACGACACTACTCTGTCTATTAAAGTTACATTTCTGTCTGAGTACATTTTGTACCCCTTATACTTCAGGCAAAAGGAAATGGCAAACAAGTCCCAGAGTATTTCCATTTCTTGAACCGGGCAACTTGTGTGCCCCGCAGTCAGGCGGCAGAGCGGGCGGGTGGAGATGACGCATGGTGTCCATGGAGCACTGACGTCGCGCACGGGAATGCGCCTCCTTCCGCCTTTTAAACAGCAATGCTCTGAAAGTGCTAAGGTTTCCTAGTACTTTCTGCCCATTTCATGGAAAACGTTAGACGAAAATATCGTACTGTCTGTGATGAGGTGATAGTAGCTTCCAATAAATGTTTCAACAATTCTTTCACCCATTTGCTCTTGCTCTGATAATTTTGGAAACATTGGTGCGCTTATTCTATTTGATGGCGTTGAAAATTAAGGCTGAACTACAATGTAAAACACATCTGTTAAAGACGTAGGGTGTCTCAAGCTGTTTGGCGCTTGGCACACATTCGTCCGCCGTGTTTTGGAGCCGGGTAAAAAAACCATTGATCCCGCCACAGCACGGCGTTGCCCATATTTGGCGAGAGCGTAGAGCTTTGACCATATATGGGCGACATTTCCCAGAATTTGGGGCGTTGGCCGAGTACAAAAGGAGCCGATTCGCGCGGCCAACCGTGGAGTTTCAGGTACCCTAGCGAGAGAGAGCACCTTCCTGTCATCAACTATTACAACCAGGTGGGTTATCCTCCATTCTTCTCCCATCATCTCCCCTAATTGCAGATAATCCGTACCTTAGCTGATTTGTACTGTAGTTTGAAGTTGGCAGCCATGTTCGTATGAGATCACCTCAACTAGCGCGTCAAGCCTACACGCCAAATTCTTCGGACAGACGGGTTGAGATAGTTTGAATAGTTTTAATGACGCGACACAGGCTGGGAAGTGGTTATCAAGCTCTGACATATGGGCTGAACTTGATGCACAATGACAGATAATATAAATATCCGTCCCATACGATTTATAACGGTATTCTATCATAAAAACCATTGCTACGAGGAAAATATTTGAAACGACCGATGAATGGAAAATTTGCATGACCGGACCGTTGTATTCTGGACATGAAGTTCTTTCTAAAACAACATTATACATTAAGTTTGCCAAAACCTAGATAGCTTTGCTTTTTTTACGCGGATAGAATAAGGGCACAAAGCTATAGGGTCGGTCCAAATTTTGAACACCTTTGTTTAACACAGGTGTGTGTTTAGAAAAGTGAACGGTAAAAACCGTTGGGACAGGACAAAAAGTTAACGGTAACCCTAGCCGGGGTTACCCACCGGCGAGTACGGTATTCAATTAGTAATTCGTCTGTATAGGCGCGAGTCGTGCTGCATACAAAAGATGGTGTGCTGCGCTCAGGCATGTCCTTATATGGCAATATCGCCGGGCCAGGGCGTAAGGTGAACGGGTTGTGAATAGTTATGTGGTGCGGTGAGCTCGCCGACCTATGGCGCTCTCTTGTTTTCTGAAAGGGCGGGAAAATGAATTGTTTCTTAAGTATGTGCTCCCTTTCATAGTTAATGTAAGTGGAAAAAGCGCTGGTACTTGTTCCGTTGCCGTTATAAACCCACCAGAAAAACACAAGGCACCGTTAGAAAAAAACGACCGTTACAAAATAACATTACACACTCGGCATGACGTATTATTTCAACGCGTCTGATATTTGAGTAGCCTCCAGACGACAGTTGAATATGCATCCTGTTGTTCTTGCAGAGACGCACCGTTAGCCAACGGAACGGGCCTGTTTGTCCAACATTTTGTTACGCCATACACTCACATTACACACCTTAAACACATCTGTGGTTTCAGTCATCAAAAAGGCGGCCAGATTTTAAAAGCTTTTTTAATCATGATTTCTTCCCTTCTTAATATCGTTAGGGGTCCATTGCACATTTTACTAACAATTAGCCGTTCATACAGGAGACGCCATGAGCCACAGTCAGCCGTAATATCATTAAACGTCCCCCCATAGACCACAATTGCTAATATTATTTACATCATTGCCCTATCAACCCTTGGATGGAGAGTAAACCACGATAGTATAAATTTTAAGATCGTCACTTTTTTGACCCTAACATTTCCTATATATGCATAATGTTATACGTCTACATCAAAATTGATAGTGCGCTATATAAAACGTTATCGAAGAGTTTCCTAGAAAAAATACTACGAGTAGAACTGTGTTTCTACCAGGGCAAGAACGTATATTTGCAATATGTTCGCGGGTATGTTTCGTCCTGCAAAGTGACATGTAAATAATCCTGTGGACAGTCTGTAATGAAAATCGACCACTGACTGCGCTAACGACAGGCCTGACCTTTCTGCGTATCGATCTACCCCCAAATTTTAGTTTTGCAGGGTGGGGTGGTCCGAGTTGTATTCAATGCAATATTTCAAGGCGGCAAAACAACACAAAAATATTCTGGATGAGGAAATCTGTAACTGTCTGATGTTGACACTTACTGCCATTTCGCAGCACAGTTTCGTCAGCATTTCATACTTGAAGGATTTGAAATAGCCCAGAAACAAGCTACGTGAGGCATTTCTTTATTTTTGGGGTACCACCCATAAATAGCTAGAACCAGACGATGAACAAAACAAGCAGCCGTTTTCCGTCAGCGACATCGCATTTTTGCCTCACGGATATCAGTATGCTATGGGATAGGATTGATGTAAATACATTAAAAGAATGACCAGAAAATTGACTTTCAAAATCCAATTTTGTCTGAAATTGACTTGAATGCCTTGGAAACGTATAACGTGCGTGCAAGGGAACTTCGCGATAAGAAGTGAGGAGAGGCATAAATTGTGATATCGCAGGAAGCAAGTACTGCCCGTTGCAATATGCAGCAGTCATCAATGTTGACATGTGTTCTTGATGCCATGCATTAATGTAATACTGTATCCAAGAGAACTCACAACGAGAGGCTCTCAGGGCATAATCTGTTTAAACGTTCCGCGCGATTTGGTTGCCGTGCCATGACGACCGGACCCGCCGGGAGGTGTTTCCCGTATGGCCCACCGGCAATTGATTTATTAGTTGTAAAAGACAGGGAAGAAAAGTATGAACGTGGGGGCACGTAGATGATTAACTGAGGAAAACGGGAAAATATCAAACTGGGGACACGTAGATGATCATCTGAAGAAACCAGGGGTGTGCCTCAAAACAGGCAAAACTTCTCCATGACTGCCACGTGTTCCGATGGGGGAGGGGTGGGCGTGTAGCAGGCAGTGCAAGGTCAAGACCTCCACCCACATCTACTTGGAGGCCGTGACAGATGTAATGACGCCCTGGCACGTTATCATGCCCGGCACGTCCGTGCAGCTTTCAACGCGCAATATTAACGATTTTTGGTACCGCCTATCGTCCATTTATCTGTCTACCGGCGGTGGATGACAGCCGCATTTTTCATATTTATTGCTTGGGTAGCCTACGTGATAGCTCTACCCGACCCTCGGGCGTGACAAAATGCTCAAATTATCCGCCCTGTGATATCCTGTGTTGCAGCACTTTTCATCTACCCTCCTGTGGCGAGCACCGTCTTCAAATCACAAGGATTCATGATCAAATGAGTCCTAGAGATCATACGTTAGCTGGACATTTAAGGGATGCTATTCCTGTAGAGATAGTGGGAGAAGGAAAGTTTGCAAGAGGAAAACTCTAGTCTTATGATGAAGCATACATTAATCAATCCAAAGATATCACCAAATCATTGGCAACGGTCCAAGCCGTATGGTGATCCAGGGGAAGCCATATGAAGCAATGCGGCAGTCAAAAAACAAAGTTGCAAAGTCCTTAGTAGAAATATTCAGATTATCACCCATTCGCGTACCCGTTATTCTTACCCAAGACTCAGTAATATGGATCTGATGGGCCATTAGCGTCTGTAGATGTTTGAGTGCAAGCACAGTTGATTAGCTTGGCACACAGCTACCTCCACTGATCAGGCAGTATAATTTGGCCTCAAGCCAGCGGCGAAACATAGAGGCGGCCGCACGGCATCATTACATTCTCTCTCCATTGCCAAACAACGTGCCTTACATCTCAATGATATCGTCCTTACAGGTTTCATCTGAAGTGATTCTACACATACCAAGTACCCACAATGGAAGACGACGTTGCTGCACTTGTGATCGACAACGGCTCCGGCATGTGTAAGGCCGGCTTCGCGGGGGACGACGCGCCCAGGGCCGTCTTCCCGTCCATCGTCGGCAGACCAAGGCATCAGGTTAGTACGTGGAAGCTGTAATCCAACCTTGTGTTAATATGAATTGGTTTTATTGCTTTAATATCTCTCAGTGCCTAAGCTGTTTTTATCAAGCCCACATCGTACCTTATTTCTACATGATGATATTTTTCCAGAATCATTCATATTCATGCTTGATGATTACACTGCTTTGACTAAAAGTCCAATGGTTTGAATATTTTTCGCCCAGGGTGTGATGGTCGGAATGGGCCAGAAGGACAGCTATGTCGGTGACGAGGCTCAGAGCAAGAGGGGCATCCTGTCACTCAAGTACCCGATCGAGCACGGCATCGTCACCAACTGGGACGACATGGAGAAGATCTGGCACCACACCTTCTACAACGAGCTGCGTGTCGCCCCGGAGGAACATCCAGTTCTCCTGACGGAGGCACCACTCAACCCCAAGGCTAACAGGGAAAAGATGACACAGGTAAATCCTTGCTTCTGTGATGGACAACACATTCATGACAAATCGGTTATGAATTATCACACCACGAAGTAGGCTATAGTATGGATGAATCAATGTTGTCGTTTTACTCACAGCTTATGTTCGAGACGTTCAACACCCCCGCCATGTACGTGGCCATCCAAGCCGTGCTGTCCCTGTACGCCTCCGGCCGCACCACGGGGATCGTGATGGACTCCGGGGACGGCGTGACCCACACCGTGCCGATCTACGAGGGGTACGCCCTGCCGCACGCCATCCTGCGTCTGGACCTGGCCGGGAGGGACCTGACAGACTACCTGATGAAGATCCTGACAGAGCGCGGTTACACCTTCGTCACAACAGGTGTGTATGATCTGGATAGCTTTCATTTCTTTGGGCAGTATATCATCATAGTTGTGAGGGCTATCTTTTTCATCTGTTTTTTTTACAATACCCGCTCTATCTCGTATCTCACAGCTGAGAGGGAAATCGTCCGTGACATCAAGGAGAAGCTGTGTTACGTCGCCCTGGACTTCGAGCAGGAGATGGCGACGGCCGCCTCCAGTTCTAGTCTGGAGAAGAGCTACGAGCTGCCCGACGGCCAGGTCATCACCATCGGGAACGAGAGGTTCCGCTGCCCGGAGACACTGTTCCAGCCATCCTTCATCGGTACGTGTCTGCTTTATATCTGCTGGCGTGTTTTGTAATGTTATATTTGAATCTCAGTGTGAATCGTATACTCCAGAAGAGAGGTGCTGTGAGGAAATTTAGGATTTCAAAATGACAGCACTATATGCAACTTTAACTTGATCATTTTCTGTCATTAAATTGATTCTTGTCATACCTCAGTTTACTCAGGTGGGTTTTTCTATTCTCTTCTATTCTCTACCTAGGTATGGAGTCAACTGGCATCCACGAGACCACGTACAACAGCATCATGAAGTGCGACATCGACATCCGTAAGGACCTGTACGCCAACACCGTGCTGTCCGGCGGCACCAGCATGTTCCCCGGTATCGCCGACCGTATGCAGAAGGAGATCACCGCCCTGGCACCCAGCACCATGAAGATCAAGATCATCGCTCCTCCCGAGAGGAAGTACTCCGTGTGGATCGGCGGGTCCATCCTGGCCTCCCTGTCCACCTTCCAACAGATGTGGATCAGCAAGCAAGAGTACGACGAGTCCGGGCCTTCTATCGTCCACCGTAAATGCTTCTAAACATACACATCACATCTTGTTGCGTCGACTGATTGAGATTTTCTTAGCTCTGGCTGAACGGCCTACGGTTAATATGTTCTGTCTTTTGTAGTATCTTTTGTAGCAGAAAGACATAAGTATTTTTGTACTCTATCGACGACTCACGATCGACCTTGCTCTATTGTTTGACCAAGTTTACGCTGCACTTTATCGTTTCTGAAGTCTGCACTGTATTATGATTTCAGTACTATGTGGCGACTAGTAACATTATGCAATTGGTACACATGGATGTACTTGCTCTGATAGTCAAACTACTACTAATGACGATAGAAATGATGTGTAGAAAATCATAAGAAAATTACTATGGCAGGTGCAAGGCGTAGGTCTAGCTTTTTTTTTTGTGTGTACTGAAGTTTGCGAGCACACGACCACTACCCCGATTGTTGTATCATATTTTTTACTATGTTGGAGAGGGACCATTAGGGTTTAGAAGTACACTGTCGTGTAAGACAGTATGTTTGATGAAATTAGAACCCTATGGCTGTAGTGAGAATCACTGGAAAGATTGTCTTTATATATATATATATATGAGATATATGAATTTTTTGTATCATTTCTGGCTACTTCAGTTACATTTCTGGTTACATTTCTAAGAAACACCATCATGTTGCAAGGTAAAAGAAAGAAAGATGTAAACGATTTTCGATTGTTCATTAGCGTCATACGTGACAATAATTGATTTTGTACCCAAGTTAATTTCAAGGGCCAAGAAAAGCGTGGCGAAGCCAGGTGGTATTTTCTACTTTACTGTCTTCCTAACCTAATCTTACTGGTGTACAAAGAATAGCTCTTCTGTCAACTCGATTCTCTCCCTCTCTTTTCTTTGTGCTCAATTCTATATGGAGAGAGTCCACGTTTGGTCTGAGAGAATAAACCTGGAATATGCAAGGAATCACTGGGCTGTTGTGATGTTTTCTTTTTATAGTACAGCCAAGAAACAACGTAGATCTATTTCGTGTGTTTGTGTGCGTGTGTGTATGTATGTGTGTGTATGGGGGGGGGGGCAGGCAGTTGTGAGAGTATGGTAGCACGGTTGAAGTCAAATATCGTTTTGAGGCATCAAAAACCCTGGCCAACAAGTCAAAGGCAACCAATTTACTACCATATCACAACTGGTTGATTGGTAACATCCCCCGTAAACTTTGTTAATCAAAGATTTTGGACAATAGAAATCAATTGCAAGCAGCAACCTTTCAACTTTTGCTGTTAGAATTTGTCCTAGTCTAAATGTAACCCAAATGTTCACCAGCCACATTAGGATATACTTTGTTACCGCCGCTTCTATATAAAATTTGCTAGAGGTCATTCAAGGTTACGAACGTCACAGCCCTGAGGGAGCAATGACAGACGAACGAACTCCATGCCCTTATATGGTGTTTTCAGTGAGCTGACTGTGGTAAACATTGACGTACTTCAACGTTGCCCCGCTGTACACGAGTATTTCATAACTAGGAATTCGGTAAAGCACAAAAACAAATTGAAAATTGATTATATATCATTGTACAAGTTTTATTTATGTGCTAGTGAAAATCACTAGAACCCAAGGAAACTGCAAGGCCACATGACATGAGAATAATTCCACTGTAATAAAGATAATATTCGAAGTGTCAAGCTCCACAACATACTATTTGATATCTTCCATATACTCTGAAGACGCTACCATCATCTCTCCATATAGAAGGATGCCTACTATATACTCTGAGAGATAGATCCTGTCAACCATAATCATATATATTGCTGAAATATAAATTTCCCACAAGTATGTACCTCTATGCTACTGTAAATCTATGATATTGATGGTTATATGAGTACATGACGTCATGTAATCTTCCCAGGCGACAGTTTACGGCACTTCTCATGTGTCATGAAGGGCCTGTGCGTGTGTTCATGCCCATATTTGGTAATGTACAGGCACTGGGCTACCGGGTCAGGTGCAAACAGGGACAAATGATTATGTATGTAGCTATAGATAGCGCTGCTAGTGCAACATGCTTTGAAAAGTATGGGTTTGCAATGAATGTTTTGTTCAGGGGCAAGGAATAGGCATTGCATGGGGTGGACAAAATGAGCGTCTATAATGACAATGGCGCGGGGCCGGTACACACTTGTTGTAGAGGTCATGGTGAAAAGTAGCCTATACCAGACTTCGGGAAGTGGCTGGAAAGAGTCGAAATTGGCCGATAGACAGATGATATGCCATGGGAGTTGGTCCGCGCTAGGAGTGGCAAAATGTTCTCTCAGTGCGGACCAAGTCCCCTTGCATGTCACTATTTTGGCCGATTTCTACTCTTTCCAACCGCTTCCCGGAGCCTGGCATAGGCTAGGTGAGAACTACTTGTTGATTCTGTTGAGGTCCCACGATTTACAATTCATCGTAACATGTCACAGGTCATATTTCAATATGTCAACAGCTATGTTCGGTGGATACTACATAACAAGCGCCGCCTAGCGGTTCTCATTATCCTAGACGTCGTAAACCAAATTTGGTGATGTGGATCAACTCTACGACTCGCTTGTCTGACACCTAGTGTCAACAAAGGATCGATCGTACGGCGCGTTTTAAATAAACTTTCCGCTGTTAAGTGCTGATAAAGCTCAAGTTGAGTAATGGCGATCACCTTGGCATTTTTATTTGATGTATGGGAGGTGAGACATTGAGAAATTTACTAGTCTGAGTGCCAGACTGTTTCCAAAGGGCCCACACAGGCCAGTTTCTCAGCTCCCAAGGAAATTATACCACAGCCCCCCTCAGATAGGCACGCTTGCTAGCTCAGGGCCTAGCGTGTTATGGGTCTGGCATCCAGGCTAAAAATCTCGAGGTCATTCTTTGACTAGCAACAGCCCCCACCCACCTAAACACAATCCATTCTATGTATGGATCGGTAATACGTACTTGCAACCACCTGTTAATAGTTTTTTTCACAAGTAATATCCTGACAAGTGGTCGCTCATTTTGTAACTGTTGACATGCGATTGTTTGAAGAATTGAACCTGGACTGTCGTCTGTCCATAAGAATTTCGGAGACGTAAGAATATGACTACGTCTGGGCGCACCTGTTTAAGGTCAAAGGTCATACAGCTACAATGTTCTAGATAAAAGTAGTATGGAGGCATGCTGACATCACGGTTTTAAGAATCAGAGAAAAGAGGGGTTAACATAATCTACGCGAGTTGTGAAGGGTTGGCGTTGGTTTTCCACAATCATCTGTTTAGCTAGGCCAAATGAAGCATCTATTTTTATTTACATGTGCATTTTCGTCAAGAAAATTATTTATCAAACATTTTCCTCGATAGATCTGCCCAAGGGGACAAGGTAATTATAGAAATGAGTCACAAGTACCAGTTGGCTGGAAGAGGTCATTATGCAAATGTCTTAACACACACATTACACCATAACACAAACGGGCTCTCCGGACTCGCGCCTTATTTGGTCAGATACTAGTAACAGCCTCACCTGGTTGGCCCAGTGTGTAACGTTCTATAGGTCGAACATGCTATACACAGGAGTGGAGAGGACCTAGAGTTACACAAAGCACAGAGAAAAGTTGACCATGGCCATATATGGAATGGTTGGAAGAAAAATACCATACTTGGGGTACAGTTCGGAGAACTATCAGAAAAGACCGGATAAGAATATTTGATATTGCTATTTCTGACGATGACATGACCCTGCTCGAAGGGTATAAATACAGTCATCAACCAAGCTCAACTAAGTTCTCTCAGGGGCAATTGCAGTTCAAGAACACTATAAGGTACATTGTTGTTTTTGCTCGTGAGTTTTTTCTTCATGTGGCTCAACTTCTTTTTTTCACAATTCTGTTATCATTTGATTACGCATCCCTTTTAGATAAGGCATTAGTTGTTACTGCTCTGCATGTGCACACAGTTATACGATGTATACGTAATTTTGAGAACAAATGTTTTATCCGCAGGTCCTATAGTACACAAAACCATGTATGAGGAGGATATCGCCGCCCTGGTCGTGGATAACGGCTCCGGCATGTGTAAGGCCGGCTTCGCGGGGGACGACGCGCCCAGGGCCGTCTTCCCGTCCATCGTCGGGAGACCGAGGCATCAGGTGAGAAATCCTTGTTACTGTTAAGGGAGGTCATGCATTGAGATTGGGTAAGATATGCCTATTCAAACCTATGTTATCTGTTCAATTTGTTTTACTATCACTTTTATTAATTTTGCTAACATTCTGTAACCGTCTTATAGGGTGTGATGGTCGGAATGGGCCAGAAGGACAGCTATGTCGGTGACGAGGCCCAGAGCAAGAGGGGCATCCTGTCACTCAAGTACCCGATCGAGCACGGCATCGTCACCAACTGGGACGACATGGAGAAGATCTGGCACCACACCTTCTACAACGAGCTGCGTGTCGCCCCGGAGGAACATCCAGTTCTCCTGACGGAGGCTCCCCTCAACCCCAAGGCTAACAGGGAAAAGATGACACAGGTATGCGGTAGACACTACCGACTCTTCACGTTTTCTAACGTTTTCATAACGTTTTCTATTTTACTAATGGAACTTGGCTTACCGCAATGTCCTCTTGAACCACAGGCCATGTTCGAAACGTTCAACTGTCCTGCCATGTATGTCAACATCCAAGCCGTGCTGTCCCTGTACGCCTCCGGCCGCACCACGGGGATCGTGATGGACTCCGGGGACGGCGTGACCCACACCGTGCCGATCTACGAGGGGTACGCCCTGCCGCACGCCATCCTGCGCCTGGACCTGGCCGGGAGGGACCTGACAGACTACCTGATGAAGATCCTGACAGAGCGCGGTTACACCTTCGTCACAACAGGTGTGTATGCTCTGGATAACTTTGATTTCTTTGGGCAGTGTATCATCATAGTTTTGAGAACTATCTTTTTTATCTGTTTTTTTACAATACCCGCTCTATCTCGCATCTCACAGCTGAGAGGGAAATCGTCCGTGACATCAAGGAGAAGCTGTGTTACGTCGCCCTGGACTTCGAACAGGAGATGGCGACGGCCGCCTCCAGTTCTAGTCTGGAGAAGAGCTACGAGCTGCCCGACGGCCAGGTCATCACCATCGGGAACGAGAGGTTCCGCTGCCCAGAGACACTGTTCCAGCCTTCCTTCATCGGTATGTGTCTGCTTTACATCTGCTGGCGTGTTTTGTAATCATTATGTTATATTTGAATCTCAGCGTGAATCGTATACTCCAGAAGAGAGGTGCATCGAGCCAAGCTGTTGTGAGGAAATTTAGGATTTCAAAACGACAGCACTATATGCAACTTAAACTTAATTATTTTCTGTCATTAAATTGATTCTTGTCATACCTCTACCTAGGTATGGAGTCAACTGGCATCCACGAGACCACGTACAACAGCATCATGAAGTGCGACATCGACATCCGTAAGGACCTGTACGCCAACACCGTGCTGTCCGGCGGCACCAGCATGTTCCCCGGTATCGCCGACCGTATGCAGAAGGAGATCACCGCCCTGGCACCCAGCACCATGAAGATCAAGATCATCGCTCCTCCCGAGAGGAAGTACTCCGTGTGGATCGGCGGGTCCATCCTGGCCTCCCTGTCCACCTTCCAACAGATGTGGATCAGCAAGCAAGAGTACGACGAGTCCGGGCCTTCTATCGTCCACCGTAAATGCTTCTAAACATACACATCAAATCTTGTTGCGTCAACTGATTGAGATTTTCTTAGCTCTGGCTGAACGGCCTACGGTTAATATGTTCTGTCTTTTGTAGTATCTTTTGTAGCAGAAAGACATAAGTATTTTTGTACTCTATCGACGACTCACGATCGACCTTGCTCTATTGTTTGACCAAGTTTACGCTGCACTTTATCATTTATGAAGTCTGCACGGTATTATGATTTCAGTACTATGTGGCGACTAGTAACATTATGCAATTGGTACACATGGATGTACTTGCTCTGATAGTCAAACTACTACTAATGACGATAGAAATGATGTGTAGAAAATCATAAGAAAATTACTATGGCAGGTGCAAGGCGTAGGTCTAGCTTTTTTTTTTGTGTACTAAAGTTTGCGAGCACACGACCACTACCCCGATTGTTGTATCATATTTTTTACTATGTTGGAGAGGGACCATTAGGGTTTAGAAGTACACTGTCGTGTAAGACAGTATGTTTGATGAAATTAGAACCCTATGGCTGTAGTGAGAATCACTGGAAAGATTGTCTTTATATATATATATATGAGATATATGAATTTTTTGTATCATTTCTGGCTACTTCAGTTACATTTCTGGTTACATTTCTAAGAAACACCATCATGTTGCAAGGTAAAAGAAAGAAAGATGTAAACGATTTTCGATTGTTCATTAGCGTCATACGTGACAATAATTGATTTTGTACCCAAGTTAATTTCAAGGGCCAAGAAAAGCGTGGCGAAGCCAGGTGGTATTTTCTACTTTACTGTCTTCCTAACCTAATCTTACTAGTGTACAAAGAATAGCTCTTCTGTCAACTCGATTCTCTCCCTCTCTTTTCTTTGTGCTCAATTCTATATGGAGAGAGTCCACGTTTGGTCTGAGAGAATAAACCTGGAATATGCAAGGAATCACTGCGCTGTTGTGATGTTTTCTTTTTACAGTACAGAAACAACGTAGCTCTATCGCGTGTGTTTGTGTGTATGTGTGTGTGCATGTGTGTGTGTCTATAGTGTGTGTCTGGGCGTGTGTGTATGTATGTATGTGTGCCCATACCCTCAGCAGTTGTGAGGGTATGGGCCGCCGGTTTTGAATAGTAGCACGGTTGAAGTCAAATATCGTTATGAGGCATAAAAAACCCTGGCCAACAAGTCAAAGGCAACCAATTTACTACCATATCACAACTGGTTGATTGGTAGCATCCCCCGTAAACTTTCTTAATCAAAGATTTTGGACACTAGAAATCAATTGCAAGCAGCAACCTTTCAACTTTTGCTGTTAGAATTTGTCCTAGTCTAAATGTGAACCAAAATGTTCACCAGTCACATTAGGATATACTTTGTTACCGCCGCTTCTATATAAAATTTGCTAGAGGTCATTCAAGGTTACGAACGTCACTGCCCTGAGGGAGCAATGACAGACGAACGAACTCCATGCCCTTATATGGTGGTTTTAGTGAGCTGACTGGGGTAAACATTGACGTACTTCAACGTTGCCCCGCTGTAACGTTACACGAGTATTTCATACCTAGGAATTCGGTAAAGCAAAGACAAATTGAAACTTGATTATATATCATTGTACAAGTTATTTTTATGTGCTAGTGCAAATCACTAGTACCCAAGGAAACTGCAAGGCCACATGACATGAGAATAATTCCACTGTAATAAAGATAATATTCGAAGTGTGAAGCTCCACAACATACTATTTGATATCTTCCATATACTCTGAAGACGCTACCATCATCTCTCCATATAGAAGGATGCCTACTATATACTCTGAGAGATAGATCCTGGCAACCATAATCAGATATATTCAGCGCTGAAATATAAATTTCCCACAAGTATGTACCTCTATGCTACTGTAAATCTATGATATTGATGGTTATATGAGTACATGACGTCATGTAATCTTCCCAGGCGACAGTTAACGGCACTTCTCATGTGTCATGAAGGACCTGCGCGTGTGTTCATGCCCATATTTGGTAATGTACAGGCACTGGGCTACCGGGTCAGGTGCAAACAGGGACAAATGATTATGTATGTAGCTATAGATAGCGCTGCTAGTGCAACATGTTTTGAAAAGTACATGTATGGGTTTGCAATGAATGTTTTGTTCAGGGGCAAGGAATAGGCATTGCATGGGGTGGACAAAATGAGCGTCTATAATGACAATGGCGCGGGGCCGGTACACACTTGTTGTAGAGGTTATGGTGAAAAGTAGCCTATACCAGACTTCGGGAAGCGGCTGGAAAGAGTCGAAATTGGCCGATAGACAGATGATATGCCATGGGAGTTGGTCCGGCGCCTAGGAGCGGCAAAATGTTCTTTCAGTGCGGACCAACTCCCCTGGCATGTCACTATTTTGGCCGATTTCTACTCTTTCCAACCGCTTCCCGAAGCCTGGCAGAGGCTAGGTGAGAACTACTTGTTGATTCTGTTGAGGTCCCACGATTAGCAATTCAGCGTAACATGTCACAGGTCAATATGTCAACAGCTATGTTGGGTGGATACTACATAACAAGCGCCGCCTAGCGGTTTACATTATCCTAGACGTCGTAAATCCTTGACTTTGATTATTTCAGCACTTGGACATTTTTGTACAATTGTCAGTTCAACTTCACACATCTTCAAGATTATCCCTATGAAAATGAGCTGTGACATACTGTTTGCAGTGACGTAATAATGTCCCGTTGGTGAAGCGATTCGTACATGACCAAATTTGGTGATGTAGATCAACCCTACGACTTGCTTGTCCGGCACCTATTATCAACAAAGAATCGATCGTACGGCGCTTTTGAAATAAAATTTCCGCTATGAAGTTCTGATAAGGCTCAAGTTGAGTAATGGCGATCACCTTGGCAATCTTATTTGATGTATGGTAGGTGAACCTTTGAGAAATTTCCTAGTCTGAGTGCTAGGTTGTTTCCAAGGGCCCGCACAGGCCAGTTTCTCAGCTCCCAAGGAGATTATACCACCACCACCCCCCTTCAGATAGGCACTCTTGCTAACTCAGGGCCTAGCGTGTTATGGGTCTGGCATCTAGGCTAGAAATCCCCCAGGTCATTATTTGACTAGCAACAACCCCCACCCACCCCGACACATCCCATCCCATTCTATGTATGGATCGGTAATACGTACTTGCAACCACCTGTTAATAGTTTTTTTCACAAGTAATATCCTGACAAGTGGTCGCTCATTTGATAACTGTTGACATGCGATTGTTTGAAGAATTGAACCTGGACTGTCGTCTGTCCCATAAGAATTTCGGAGACGTAAGAAATATGACTATGTCTGGGCGCACCTGTTTAAGGTCAACGGTCATACAACTATAATGTTCTAAATAAAAGTAGTATGGAGGCATGATGACATCACGGTTTTAAGAATTAGAGAAAAGAGGGGTTAACATAATCTACGCGAGTTGTGAAGGGTTGGCGTTGGTTTTCCACAATCATCTGTTTAGCTACGCCAAATGACGCATCCATTTTTATTTACATGTGCATTTTCGTAAAAAAATTATTTATCAAACATTTTCCTCGATAGATCTGCCGAGGGGAACAAGGTAATTATAGAAATGAGTTACAAGTACCAGTTGGCTGGAAGAGGTCATTATGCAAATGTCTTATCACACACATTACACCATAACACAAACGGGCTCTCCGGACTCGCGCCTTATTTGGTCAGATATTAGTAACAGCCTCACCTGGTTGGCCCAGTGTGTAACGTTCTATAGGTCGAACATGCTATACACAGGAGTGGAGAGGACCTAGAGTTACACAAAGCACAGAGAAAAGTTGACCATGGCCATATATGGAATGGTTGGAAGAAAAATACCATACTTGGGGTACAGTTCGGAGAACTATCAGAAAAGACCGGATAAGAATATTTGATATTGCTATTTCTGACGATGACATGACCCTGCTCGAAGGGTATAAATACAGTCAAGAACCGAGCTCAACTAAGTTCTCTCAGGGGCAATTGCAGATCAAGAACACTATAAGGTACATTGTTGTTTTTGCTCGTGAGTTTTTCTTCATGTGGCTCAACTTTTTTTTCACAATACTGTTATCATTTATCATTTGATTACGCATCCTTTTTAGATAAGGCATTAGTTGTGACTGCTCTGCATGTGCACACAGTTATACGATGTAATTTTGAGAACAAATGTTTTATCCGCAGGTCCTATAGTACAAACAACCATGTATGAGGAGGATATCGCCGCCCTGGTTGTGGATAACGGCTCCGGCATGTGTAAGGCCGGCTTCGCGGGGGACGACGCGCCCAGGGCCGTCTTCCCGTCCATCGTCGGGAGACCGAGGCATCAGGTGAGAAATCCTTGTTACTGTTAAGGGAGGTCATGCATTGAGATTGGGTAAGATATGCCTATTCAAACATATGTTATCTGTTCAATTTTGCTAACATTCTGTAACTGTCTTATAGGGTGTGATGGTCGGAATGGGCCAGAAGGACAGCTATGTCGGTGACGAGGCTCAGAGCAAGAGGGGCATCCTGTCACTCAAGTACCCCATCGAACACGGCATCGTCACCAACTGGGACGACATGGAGAAGATCTGGCACCACACCTTCTACAACGAGCTGCGTGTCGCCCCGGAGGAACATCCAGTTCTCCTGACGGAGGCACCACTCAACCCCAAGGCTAACAGGGAAAAGATGACACAGGTATGCGGTAGACACTAACGACTCTTTTCATAACGTTTTCTATTTTACTAATGGAACTTGGCTGACCGCAATGTCCTCTTGAACCACAGGCCATGTTCGAGACGTTCAACTGTCCCGCCATGTATGTCAACATCCAAGCCGTGCTGTCCCTGTACGCCTCCGGCCGCACCACGGGGATTGTTCTCGATACCGGGACGGCGTGACTCACACCGTGCCGATCTACGAGGGGTACGCCCTGCCGCACGCCATAGAGCGTCTGGACCTGGCCGGACGTGACATGACCGACTACCTAACCAGGCTGCTGACCGAGAGAGGACACAGTCTGGTGACCACTGGTAGGTTGCTCTGATTTGTTTGTTTTTTTTTACTCCTGTTTTATCTTTTACTTGTGCTATGTCCTCACGTAGCACCACAACATCTCATTGGCTCACTCTTTGAGGGATCATGCAGCATGTTTCCTTCCTTGTGTTTTACACTATCAACAAAAGTGACATTTATTTGTTTCTCCAGCTGAAAGGGAGATTGTCCGTGACATGAAGGAGAAGCTGTGTTACGTCTCCCTGGACTTCGAGCAGGAGATGGCGACGGCCGCTTCTAGCTCTGCCCTGGAGAGGAGCTACGAGCTGCCCGACGGCCAGGTCATCACCATAGGGAACGAGAGGTTCCGCTGCCCAGAGGCACTGTTCCAGCCTTCCTTCATCGGTGAGTACTAGCTACTGTTGCGGAACAACGATATATATTTAACATGAACGATAAACTACCATGGGTGCTATCATTAATTGGCAAAAGTGCACAATGGGCTAAAAATATGAAAAACGAAGTCAAAGTTAATACTTTTCGGTTTAAAACTATATATTGAACTTCAATGATTACAGGCATGGAAGCTGTAGGCATCCACGAGACCACGTTCAACAGCATCATGAAGTGCGACATCGACATCCGTAAGGAACTGTACGCCAACACCGTGCTGTCCGGCGGCACCAGCATGTTCCCCGGTATGGCCGATCGTATGCAGAAGGAGATCACCGCCCTGGCACCCAGCACCATGAAGATCAAAATCATCGCTCCTCCCGAGAGGAAGTACTGTGTCTGGATCGGCGGGTCTATCATCGCTTCTCTGTCCACCTTCCAACAGATGTGGATCAGCAAGCAAGAGTACGACGAGTCCGGCCCGGCTATTGTCCACCGTAAATGCTTTTAATCCGCTTTTTTATAACAGTTTTATCAGTTCGCGTGTTCATCATATGCTTTAAAGTAGCGATTGATAGCATCGTTTGATGTTTGATGTCTATGATGGCTGTTTACAGGTAACGCTCATGACTTATTTGTGGAGCACTCGGAAAAAAGCACAAAGCAATACTATAACACATGAACTGCGCCGCTATAAGTAGTACAATGTACCTTCATATAGGTGCTGAGAATGTATTTCTTATGGCAAAGTGTCCGTGACGCAAAATATTATAGTCTTTTTACTAAGCTGTAAATAGGTCTGCTTAAAGCAACTTTGACGGTAATAAATTATGTTTTTTGAAGAGCCCTCTTGCCTTTTGTCATTGACTGACATTGTTTCTTGGCGTCTGCCCCTCCTCCATACACTAATAACATGTTGTGAGTGTTGTGAATTGAAGATTAGCTCTGATATTCTTATTCTTTATCTAGAATTGAAGAAGTCTTCAACAATACATCGCGCTTTGTTCTCAGAGCACAGTTTAAACATTTTGCAAGAAAACAACATCGATACCACTAGTTTGCGGCCCAGAGAGTGGATGGCAAAGGTTCTAGCATGCCCTCAAATAGTATTCTGTTGTTTTGGTCTAAAGTTCACCCGGTGTCTACGTTGTTAGATCAAGTTTCACAATTGTACAATCTACAATGTGGAAAAGCGTAGTAACTGAAGTGGCTATGTTCATGGCCGACGGAGCTGCTCTTAGTTCATGGAAGGCTTTCCCCATGGGCATGAAGTGATGAAAACAAATGAATAAAAGTGTTTATGTCTACTGCTAGAGACACCTGTAATAGGTCAAGGGGCATATACAGCCATGATTCCAAATAAGGAGATATACTAGAACATTTGTAATATGTTTCCAAATAAGGAGATATAATAGCAGCCTTCGCACGTGTTAGATCTGAGGCCTGGGGTAGTTCCGTGAAGGGGGGGGGGGGTACTTGAGCCCCTATGAATGTCTCCTCCCTATCTGATTCCAATTTTCATCAGAGGTTAAGATCGACTTCCAACAGCGTACGGCAGGGTGAACTTCATCGGTGACGTTGGTGAACTCCTCCTGATTTTCCCCGGGTCTGCCCCCATGAGTAAATGTCAAGCCGTGTCAAGCAGCCGCTATCTGGCGGCGGTGTTGACATTCGGACCGGCTCCTAAGTTTGTGTACCTGCGCTGGTTAACACGGGCAGTCAGCTGTGCATACGTGACTACTGTCATCACTCACACCGTACGAAATATTATGTCCAGCTTTCAATCGGTGAATACAAAGAAGATAACTTTAACGTTTACGGCGAAATGTAGCAAGGAAACTTGAATATTAGTCACAGTTTTATGTAAAACATTGCATGTTGTTTCTCCCGTTATGAGAAAACACACACGACACATTTTATCTTGAAAGTTCATCTATGTTGGTAGAAGTCATTATCACGGCACAAATATTTTACATTATCCAGAAAAAAGACCATTCCAGTGTAATTACCCCCTCTTTGTTTTAGGTGATAAAACAATCGACCTCTGTACCTGAAGTCACCTGGTTAAATGTACTGCCACACCTCCTTTGTAATCAATGCCTCGCTCCATGCTTGTGGGAGGTGCCCTGATAAAATACACACGGCTGACACGGCAAATTTGGTCTCTGGAAATTGTCGTACATACAACAAACTTGCACAAAGCAGGGAAACCTGTACTGAGATATACATGTGTAGTGAACTCCTGTCGACTGGATTTTGTCTATGCTGAACTAAATTTATTATCACGCCCCCAAACTTGTGAGGGCATGTGCGATAACACATGACAAGTGTCTGCCTAAAAAGCAAACAATAGATTATATAAAACAAACGCACTCATTGACTCATTATATACAAGCGTGCCTTATATGGGCAAGGTTGACAACTTCTGTTTGGTGACCATTGTCCGCTTCTGATTGGTTCTTCTATGTTTGATATATCTATAGACGTAAGGGATGGTTCAGAAAGAATCGAAAAGTTGTTTGTTGGACGAGGAGGGAGCTCGAAGCAACTTTGTTCATACTTTGCTTTACAACTTTTCCTTGGAAGTATAAGTAGTCTACTGCTTGACTTGTCTTCAACTTCATTGAGTATTCGTTGCCTTCGATACCACTGGTGCATTTTTCTCAGTTTCTACCCATCCCATCAATGTACTTCATGATTCTCCCCTTTTAGGATTCAATGATATAATAATTCTGGGCGGTCCCTACATGTAACACTTCCGAAGAACCATACAAGAACCACTGCGCATGCTCCGGAAAACTCAATCCTACAGGTGGTTGAGACAGAGATTTTGGGTGAGGGTGTTGAAGAGGCATCACCTGTGTCATTTCCTCCTGTTCAGGTAGGTACTCGAGTCTGCTATTTAAGATTCCCGTGGACTTCGTTCGCCGTACCTGGTTATTCCGCTATGTAGTCACCACACCTGAGTGGTATAACGTGCAGTACTTGTTGACTTAAGGCTCCGCCCACAACTAGGTTTAAACCGCTTTTTGAATCGTGAACACATGTCCTTTGTAAAAACCCAGGTAGAACGGTAGCAGTGTAAAACGACCATGTGTGACGAGGAGGACACCTCACCGGTGGTTGTGGATAACGGCTCCGGCATGTGTAAGGCCGGCTTCGCGGGGGACGACGCGCCCAGGGCCGTCTTCCCGTCCGTAATAGGGCGTCCACGCCACCAGGTAAGCCATTCCTTCTGTTATATGGAGTCTCCCATTCTCATTATAGTTTGGTAGCAGCAAGGCTGTAAAATCCCATCATAAACTGTTATATACCAATAACTGTGATATCAATTGTTGTAGATGTTGGGTCATTGATTAAATCTGTTTACACACACTTAAGGCTACAATGGTAGGCATGGGCCAGAAGGACAGCTATGTCGGTGACGAGGCTCAGAGCAAGAGGGGCATCCTGTCACTCAACTACCCCATCGAGCACGGCATCGTCACTAACTGGGACGACATGGAGAAAGTCTGGCATCATACCTTCTACAACGAGCTGCGTGTCGCTCCCGAAGAACACCCCATTTTATTGACAGAAGCGCCTCTGAATCCAAAGTCCAACAGGGAAAAGATGACACAGGTATGCGGTGCACTCATAATGTGTTTTTCTATTTGTCTTGTCCAAGCCACTAGCAAATAAGTCACATTTTTGCACTATCAATTGTTCCAACAATATCGATCTGTCAAAACCACAGATTATGTTCGAGACCTTCAACTGTCCCGCCATGTACATCAACATCCAAGCCGTGCTGTCCCTGTACGCCTCCGGCCGCACCACGGGACTGGTGATGGACTCCGGGGACGGCGTGACCCACACCGTGCCGATCTACGAGGGTTACTCCCTCCCCCACGCCATCCAGCGGCTGGACCTAGCCGGGAGGGACCTGACAGATAACCTGATGAGGATCTTGAGAGAGAGGGGATACAGCTTCAATAGCACAGGTGCGCCAGTGGTACTCAGTGATCAGAATCCTATACAACTCAAACGTAAACATTATTCACAATGACAAACATAATTAACGTGGTACGAGGTATTGAAATAAACAAATTCTGATGTTATCTATTTCTAGCTGAGAGGGAAATTGTCCGTGACATCAAGGAGAAGCTGTGTTACGTCGCCCTGGACTTCGAACAGGAGATGGTGACAGCTTCCACCAGCTCTACCGTGGAGAAGAGCTACGAGCTGCCGGACGGACAGATCGTCATCATCGGCGACGAGAGGTTCCGCGCCCCGGAGACATTGTTCCAACCTGCCTTTATAGGTAAGCTGACATATCATCTAAAACTGTATCATATATATACAGTATACTAGTACTACACCACCCTAGAATACTCAAATGCGAATTCATACATAAGGCCAGGTCTAATGAAGGTATCGACAACGGAAGAAATTTAATACTACTGACTGTTGGCAAAGGAAACGACCTAGTACAGTATGAAAATCAGGTGATATAATATTGTACGGAACTAAAGATAATCATGATCACCCATACCATCAATGTTGCAGGCGTAGAGTCACACGGCATTCATGAGCTGACCTATGACGGTATCATGAAGTGCGACATCGACATCCGTAAGGACCTGTACGCTAACGTGGTCCTGTCGGGCGGGACCACCATGTACCCCGGCATCGCCGAGCGCATGCAGAAAGAGATGAGCGACATGGCACCCAGCACCATGAAGGTCAAGATCAATTCGCTCCTCCCGAGAGGAAGTACTCCGTGTGGATCGGCGGTTCCATCCTCGGATCCCTCTCCACTTTCCAAGAAATGTGGATCAGTAAAGAAGAGTATGACGAGTCCGGGCCGGGTATCGTCCACCGTAAATGCTTCTAGTTTTGTTCCAACGCTGCTTGTATCGGAGTAGGCTTAACCAATACAATGAATATATCCATCCCGAGCAATACAATAAACATGCAAGTATAAAGGGCGAGCCTTGATGGCACAAATATATGAAGTGTCTTTAAAGTAGCTATTGTTAAACGAACTACGAATAACTATATGATGCGAATTGTGCATCTTCCATACTTAGCTTTGTAGATAATGCTATTTATATTTCCTTGTACAGGATATGTGGTACAGTCCAATAAAACATCCAACGTGTCGTACCGCTTATTCATACAACATGTTTATTCTGACAGTTTTCTTGTTTTCGTATCGTGACTGGGGAAAGTCTCCCCACGATGATAAATGAATCAATGTTTTGTAGTTCTGACCAGTTCATGACACCCACTTTAAAGCTAGGTAGATTGCGTGTTAGCTTCCGAACGTTGTAGAGAGGTATCATTAAATGATCTTACATAGAGCGGCTTAGAAAGATGAGCTCAAGTTGTGACATAGTTTAAAATTTCGCGAAAGTGGTCATGTTTCCCCATAACAGTGACTGTTCATAGATTAGTATCCTTATCATTCCTTTGGATCAAAATGAAATACTATAGTACGTGATCAGAAGATCGAATGTCCTAGTTCCCAAACCAACGTCATTCGGAGGGTTTATTCCTATTTATAGCAATGACGTCATTCTGAGTGACGTATCCAGGTGCGATATTCAAAGCAGTAAGGTCAGGTGTCAGAGGTCAGACTACGCAGGACAACCAGGAAGTGTGGCGCTAGGAGATTTGGACGACACCTGGAACCACTTCTATGCCATTAATAAGTCTTTGAGGGACAGATACTAGTAGTATAGAGCAAACATGAGTGATAGTGATGATGATAATGATAATGATACCATCGCGGTGGTTATAGACAACGGCTCCGGTACCTGCAAGGTCGGCTTCTCCGGAGAAGAGGTGCCCCT